TTATTATTATTATGTCACTCAATCAAAATTTAACCACAATCATCATAGTTATAACCTTAAAAGCAGGAATTGAGTGTATTGGCCCTGATAATTCACTAGGTGGGTGGTAAGGTAAACATGCTGGTTGGAACATTCTAATCTAATGTCACAGAAAACAAGATAAACAGGTTTTAATGAGGTGAGATTGTTATTGTGTAGGATGTAATGTAACAATCTTAACTCCCACTTCAGGAAGCAGGCCTGGGAGAATTTAATGTTAATTTAGAAGGTTTAGCAGGAAGTCCACATAAAGATTATGAGCAAAGAAAGTAAAAGATAAAGAAAGTAAATGATAACATTTAATACAACCAAACAAAGATCACACTAATTAATATTCACTGATTCATGGCTTCCCACCAAGGATTCAGATATGTCTTTCCTTGTACTGTACGTGATTTTATCTATCAAAGTATACCAAATATGAAGCTTAATCTACAAAAATAAATGTTATAAAACATTTATTGTGTAAAATGTAAAACATTTGATCTATGTAATCTGCCTTTCAGTACCAACACGTGGGCACTAGCTTTAAATTTCAGATTCCTTTGAAATAAATTGGTCACTAGCTATAAAACAAATTCTCTCCACGTGTATATCTGGATCATCTGGAGTCCTGAAGATGATCTTTCATGGACTGAATGATTACCTGAAGAATACCACTTGTGGATTGATTGGAGCAAGAATGGTTAATGGTGCATCACATTTGATTCTTTATTCATTTTTACCTGAAAATAATTTGGTTGCAAAGGGATAGCCATATTGTCCTTTGATCAATTCGTTTGGACATCATAAATATTTTTTCTCTCAGGAATATCATAATGAGCATTACTAAACCTTGTATTTTTAGTATTAATTTCTTTTGTGCTCATTTCAAACACTTGTTTGCATTATCTAAATATTGTAGCTTGTTTGAAAGATAACAACTGTGGCTTATCAAAAATGATCGTTTGTTGACTAAACTGCTCTTTCGATTTGATACCACAATTCACTTTCAAGCAGTTGTCTAATTACAGTAAAATTACACACAATTATTGTAATTGTATGTCGAGAACCAGAATGCATATCACTAGCATTAAGTAGACCTATGATTCACTAAAAGAAAACTAGAATGGATCTTATTTTAACTTTCCAGGCAACTGAATATTATATTATAATAGCCAACATAATCGGTGACAATTTCTCTAATCTATTCACATCCAATGAATATACTGTATTTTAAACTTGTCTACATATTTTACTTAAAAAACAAAAATGATTAATACATTTTACAAATATGCAACCTCTAGGTGTTTTGTAAATCAAGATGACTATAGTGTACCAAAAATTCAAAAAGATTTTTTTTAATAAAAGCAAGTGTTTGCAAATCATGCATACCAACTAAGTTTGAGGCACTGACATTATGCAAGTTAATAAATCCTAGTTTTCAAAAATAAATTGACCAATAGTATTTAATTTCTAATGGTTTGTCAGAGGCAGTGGAACCTTAAAGGGAAGTTATACCACTGGCACAGTTCACCTTAATAGGTGTAACAGAGTGATGAGAGCAGCAGGCAATGAATTATACTGGGTGCGAATTGCTCTTGCCATTTTGTCACAAAGGGGATCAAAGAGAAAAATGAAGGTTCTGCCTTTTCTGTACGTAAATGCTGGGCTGGTTTCTCCATGACTCAGACATCCGCATCACCATTGTGCCAGATGACAACTCACTTTTTATGATTCAGAACACAGGAGAAAAACAGAAAGCCCTTCAAACCCATTGATTCTCAAACCTCTGATGCTGACTCAGAGGCCTCTTTATGTAAGATTCAAATGTTGAGAACAATCAATTCCACCTCTAAATTAAGAGAATTTAACAAAACAAGTCCTCATTTTCTGAACATACACCAACTGATAACAAGTCATCTGTATGATTTCTGCAGAGGGGACGTCAGAGCTCAGACAGGAAACATTTTGAACACTGTCTGTCTGAATTTTCCACTCTTATATGGAATTGTTTTTTGCAATCAATTGTCGAACCATTCATTTAGCCAATTATTGACTAGATATATTTTTTGACTCCAATTTTTTTAATAGAAAATCATATTGTGGAAAGCTAATTACAAAACAAACAAAATCCCAATATCCTCAGAAAAGAGTATTTTTTAAAAAAAACTTCCTTTGCTGAATGTGGAGATCCTTCAAATTAAAAGAGCCTTTCTCAGGTAGTCACCCAGCAAATGGCACTCCAGCCATTTGAAACAATTGGCAGAACTTTTATGTTGAGAATTAAGTGTTTATTAGGCGATAGTGCCCCCATGTGGCTAGAATCCTGGTTACACAAAAATAAAATCTATTGCAAGTTTCAGTTTTTCTTTTAACATTCAGCACAGGTCAACACTTTAATTTTACTCTTGCTATTCATTTTTAAATTGAAAGCTTCAATTAAAAGTGATTATTAAAAGTGACATTTCTCTTGTATGATGACTACCAAATATCTTTTATGTTAATAACATATCACTATTATTATATTAGAACAGAATAGTCTGACCAATACTACATCTGTATTCCAATTCAATTGGTCAGAACCAGAATTTAAATTTCAAGTGGCTTAACATTGAAGACATTTTCACTTACTTGGTAAGCTGAAGCCAAAACTAGAAACTGGAGCCAAAGGCTGTGCAGCCTTTCCATACACCAGCTTAAGATTTATTGTAGCCACTGACTCAATTAAGTATTCAGGTATAGGTGTATCTCTTGTATTGGGCTTAGATCCCATTCATGTCCTATGGGCTTAAAAGGAAAGTTTTCCAGACACTTATCAGCAACCAGAAAATCCTGGTAGATTCATTAGGAATTGTCTACAGGTGTCATTTACCCACAAGGGTAATAAAAGCTAGGGAAAGCCAATGCATACACCCAGTGCCCTATTGAGATAGGATAAAAAAGTAACGAGTACAAATCTTCAAGAAAGCTCATCTCTGATTATTACTTCAATAAACCACTTAAGTCTTCTATGAAGCCTATAGCCGTTCAATGATAATGGCAGACTGCAGAACATTCACTGATAAGAGTCAAACGACTGAACTGATATGACCAACTCCATGCTAAATACAATGTCAGAGAAATTTAGTTGGGTTCTAAATCCTCTGCAAGATCATTATTAGAGGGGTTTACAAAATTTTCTAGTGTATTAGCTGTGCGTTCAGATATGTACCCTGCTGGCTGCACCTGTACCTCAGAATTATTTTTTAAAAATATTAAACCCATACGGGTCATAAGGGAATACCAATTATCCCGACCATGACGCTTCACACACTATCTCTCCTGTCTATGTTGTTCTCTTTCAGACAGTTCTGCCACAAAATGTTGCCACTTACACGCAGAATATGGGGGTGGGAGCTGCTATTTTTCCCCTCAAGCCCTATGACAAATCTGTATTCAGCATGAATTTGACTTTTAGATTATTTGAAGGTTACTTTCAAGGTGAATTTGAATAGGTTTTTGAGAAATCAGACTCATTACTGAGTGAAGTGATTGACAATAACTGAATGAATATATAGTTGAATGGGTCTGATGTTTATTTTCCCAGATGACTCTTTGCCAGAAGCTTTCCAAACATAATGGCATGTTAGACTACTGACACAGATTGCAAGTTTGCAGAAAGCTTTCCAGCTGTTCCAAACACATCAAACTCTAGACTGGATCTGTAAATTCTATTGATGATTCAGTTAGGTAAGTAAACAGATAGCTGGTATGTGGAAAATTAGTCAGGCACTATATTCCATTAGGTCTTGTACGTGTGTTAAAGCCTAATAATAATCAGAGCCTAATAATAATCCCTCCAAAACAAAACAATAATAAAATTGGTCATTTTCAATCTACGACTGTTTGTGGGACATTGCTGTGCGCAATTGGCTGCCGCGTTCGCCCACAAATATACAGTCAATTCACTTTACAGTGTGTTCTGTGAAGCGCTTTGGGACGTCCTCCTGACGTGAAAAGTGCTATATCAAATGCAAGGATTATTATTAAAGAACAAAAAATAGAGTTCTGCAATGGTTTACTGCAAATACGACAAAATTGTTGAAAATATGCAAATGTTATTTAAATATGGCTGAATAACCAATAAATAAACTTTAGTATTCTCACGACTACTAATACAAAACACTAATAATGCTTAAAGACAGGCTTACAGGAAAAGTCGCAATTTTAAAATTAAAGATCAGGATTAGATTTCGAAGGTTCTTTATCAGCAGCTAAATCTCAATAATACTTGGAAGCACTTTCAGTGTCAATGACAGACATAAAAGTTCTTTATATTCATAAAAGGCAGGAAATTAAAATGTTTTACTTCCAGCCTAGTCATAAAATATAACTGTCACTGCTATATTAATTCTCAAGATTCAACAATGCATCATAATATGACATTTGTATTGAACATTTTAATAACTTTGGGTGCAATCACATTGGTTGCCGTGCCTTCAGCTCCCCTCTCGACTCTCTAACCCCTCCTCGCTCCCTCCTTTCCCTCCCCTCACCCTGACCAGTTCCCCCCTGCTCGGGTCCCGACCCAACTGTCCAGCGCCTTGGGACGTCCTCCCGACGTGAAAGGCACTCTATAAATGCAATCTTATTGTTGTTGCCTTAAGCTAAACGCTGAAGGCCTTTTACAGGTTACAAAATAGGCCATTTATGGTTTATTCCTTCAGACTTCCTCCCCCTTGGAAATTCCTCAATTTAAAATGCTACCTTTATTCTCAACAATAAACACACTCACTGATTTACTCAGCGGGACATGGTTAGCAGGGGTTGCTGGTTGTTAACAGGGGGTGGTTGCTTGAACAGGTTTGTGACTTATTTGACTGTAAAAATGAAGATATTGAACTAATTAATAGCACCTGTTTGATGAACACTCAGTATATAGATATGTAGTCACATAAAAATAATAGGTCACCACCAACCCTAAATATAAGAGGATAACCAGAAGGGAATTTTTTTTTATTGAAACAGCAAACGGCAGTACTTTTACATTCACCTGCATCATAAGGTCACAGAGACAATTTAAAAATTGGGATGATGATTTGGAAACAACAGACTTGTATATAATATAGAATTGCATTATGTGTTGATCAATTACAAAACCACAAGATTGGTTCAGACAAAGAAAATTCTACAGCTCTCATGAATTCATCCTTGCAGAATATCATTTTTATTATCTTTCCATAAGTGTCAAGCAATTTTCTTAAATGAGTCCAGGATCTTAGCTGCGACCACCCTTCTTGGTAACTGGTTCCAGCAGTTGATTGCTATAGTTGAAATGCTTTTGGGGATCTGTCCTAAATCAGCTATGTACAATCCTGAAATTGCGCTCTCTTGTGCTACTTCCCTGTTTCAGATTCACTTTCTCAATTTCATTATACTTTTCTGCAGTACCCCTTGGAGACATATTGTTTCAAGGCTCAAGAGGTCTACCTTATCTAGTTGGGGTTTCTCATAGCTCATCCTGCAAAAGGGAAATCAAACATGTTGCTTTCCTCTACATTACCTTTAGGGCCTGGATGTCTCCCTCCCTTATGTATCAGCAGCTAGAACTGTACATGATACTCCAAGTTTATCTGAGTAAGGCACTGCAAAATTATCACAAAACAGGTTCAAACTGATATTTGCATTTTTTTTAATGCTGTACAATACACAGAAATAATAAAAAGTAAATAACTTAATCAAGGGCAAATAACTGACTGAACAGTTGCAATTTAAGAATTAAATATTTCCCACTATAATATTCCTTCCATTCTAAGTGCGCATTATAGGATTCAATAACCTTAATGATCAGAGTGGAACTCCCAAAAAAGGAACGATAGACACATACATACATCACAAAGTTTAAAAATCAACAATATACAGCTTTGTGAGTACAGCTAGTAATATTTCGTTACAACCACAATTTGCACTTGCAATAGTACCTTTCAAATAGGAAGAACATCTCAAAGCGCTTTAGAAAGACAGACTAGAAGCCCGAGCTAGGAGAGAGATGGAGATGGCTTGTAGTCAAAGAGGTAGGTCTTTAAACAGATTTTCAAAGTAGAGAGGGCAAGGCTGAGATGAAGGAATTTTGAAAGAGCGTTACAGATATTGGATGTGGGGGAAAAGAGGGAAACCAGCATAGACGCACACCCGTTGATTGTGGGGTGGAGTCAGTGTGGGCATGAAGTAGGCAACAATTAACACAGCAGAAGGAGTAATCAGGGGAGTAGGATTGCGGGAGATCAGAGGTAGGATGGGATATGGCCGTTGAAGTATTTGAAGTCTAGGATGAGGATTTTAAAGTTGATACTGCAGCAACAAAAGTACAATATCTTAAGATGTATATATAGTAAAGAGTGTTATTTTCTTTACTCGTAAAATAGTTTTGTCTAACAATTTAGCACTCGGTTTCACGTCAGAATTTTTAGTTCTCTAGAATAGAAAGTTGTACTTTCAAAATGCCCAATTCTATGACAGACACGTAACAAAGAGCAGTCCACGCAACATCCAAGTGCAAAGAGAGATACGTATAGTATTGATAAACATTTTGACAGAACTTTACTCAACTATTTTCAGATTTGATAATTTCTGAATTTTCGTAGCAGTTCTGAAGGTGCATCTGCAGAACAACGGAAATGGTAATGGCAGTAATTTGCATCAGATATGCCTGCAAGAAATAAAGACGACTATTAATAAAAAGTTATTAAAACAACAGTTTTCAACACAACCAGCATGTTTACAATTTTTTCCCCTCAATTGTGAGCATGTGTAAGAAGTCTGTAGCCTGGGAGTCAGGGATAGGAAGTGAGCCCTGTGATTCATCATTCACATAATTTTCTTCCATTCGCATTTAGTTCTACTGTTTACAGATAAGAGCAAACAGAAACAGCTCAAGTTACTGCTGTTGTGATTATCATTTCCAGCACTGCCTTCTAGGAATGATGTAAAAATAACAGAACTGAATGGTACAGTAATTTAGAACTCTGCCATTTCCCATTATAGATGGAATTCGCATTCAGACCATTTAATGGCAATTCTCTTGCCCAGTCTGCTACGAGAATCCTATATGAAATTAATAACAAGGCCTTGTTGGTTCCTAGTGGATTTGTGCAACCCTCACAAAACCACCCACAATTCAACCAAACTGACATTTGATAATGTAGGAATTGGAAAATATGTATTAAAAGCAATACAAATGATCTGGTTGAGATGTTGACACATGGGCCTGAAATTCCACCTGGTCTTGAAAGTTTAAAATCAACCAGAACTATGGAAACTTCTTAAATTCAGTCTTAATTTGGAAGGGAATTCTTTATAAAAACTATAGCCAGAATGATTTACAGCATAGATGAGGCCATTTGACTTATTGTGTCTATACTGGCTCTCTGAAAGCATTATCCATTTAGTTCCACTCTCCAGTCCAAGGTGTCATGAAACAAAGTGAATATCTAGATTTGGGTCAGAGTGAATATTTTGATTGTGGCTTTTCTAAGAACTAATATCAAAGGCTGGATCATGGTGGTAAATAAGGCAGATAATGAGCACTCCATTGTGTTTACTTCCAAAATTCTGTTGTTCTTTACTCACTTGGTGAGGTGAGACTACTTGGAGAATGTGGATCATCGTCTTCCCACCTCTTCTCTTTCGTTCCAGCTCCATCTAAATTAGTGGGTTCCATTTTATGAGTTGAACCTTCACAAATTTCTTCCTCTGGTGGTTGCATTTGTTCCCCTCTCTTTGTGGAGGCTTCAGAGTCTGCAGAAGGTCCCTCCAGCATTGGTTCTTTCTTGCTTCTTACAGCCCAGTGCATGGACTAGGAGACAAAAGATGACAAATGTAATTCTTCCATACAAAATACCAGAAGAGTAGCTTACTAAAGAGCTTCCTTCTTTAGTCAACTCCTCACTTTTCTAATATGCCACTTAGTGTGAAATGCATTTTATTTTGTTTAAACAATAACTATTCAGATCATATACAATTCAGTAAAGCTAAGCTACTTAGTTTGCAAACCTATAGCACAAATGTAATGAGAGTTTTGTTAATCTTGAATTAACATGTAGAAAGGCGTGCACAATTAGCAACAAGCTATCAGTCACCATTCACATACTGTGCATTCATTTGGAAAACCTAGAAAACGAACGTCATCTATATTAGCTCACCTGGTAGCAAATGATCCTTGAAAATACTGCAAACAAATTACTGCAGTCAATTCAGTAAGTGTAAAATATAAATTTTAAAACAAATGGTATTGATCATTTATTGAAAATACATAAAGCTACCTAGGGAGGATTATAAGTTCCCTCCCTCCCCCTACACACACACACACACACACCACACACACCTTTCAGTTCATGATGACAGGTCATTGAAAATTCAAAAGCAGCAATGTAAGAGTTAAAAGCCACTCCAATCTTTTAGGCAGCTATTCTCTGCAACAGAACAGCAACAAACGTTCCTCTGAACGACCAATTTTATTACTTCACCACATCAAAAATACAGTGAACCGAAAATCAGAGCCTGCATTCATAGCCCCAGCCTATAAAATGAAGATCATCTTCAGATGCTGAGAAATGAATTGCCTCAGACCCACTACGTGTTGGGCACAACAATGAACCTTCCTGTTACCATCGCAACCTCCAGTCATTCAGACAGATGAAGCTTTTTAAACTAGAAATACATTCAATAGGATCTGCTTATGGTTGGTCAAGATACTCAGTGGTTAGAGCACTTGCTTTGCAAGCAAGACACCTGGGTTCAATTCCAGGCAGGGCGAAACCTTGGGCAAGTTTCCTTACTCCACATGCCTAATAATAATCCCTCCAAAAACCCCAAAAACAATAATAAATTGTCATTTTCAATCTACGACTGTTTGTGGGACATTGCTGTGCGCAATTGGCTGCCGCGTTCGCCCACAAATATACAGTCAATTCACTTTACAGTGTATTCTGTGAAGCGCTTTGGGACGTCCTCCCGACGTGAAAAGCGCTATATCAAATGCAAGGATTATTATTATTATTATTATTATACTGTACAATACATTCAAGTTGGTGCAAAAAATAATGAGTCAATATAAAGGAAGGCCCAACTGAGCTGTTCTTCCTACTGAAGAGGAAGTATTTATATCTGCGTTCAGCGTTTCAATAGTAATGGCAACATTTCAATAAAATTTGTAAAGTAAAATTAGAAATAAGAATTTTCAACTTTGGGATTAAAGACATATATAAAATCATGCTAAAGAGACTACTGAACAGAAAGGAAAGGCCAAGCACAAATTTCATGTATTTCAGAAATAAGCTTTGTGCATCATCAGTGCTCAAATTCGGAAATTCAATTTTGGAATTTGTAGAATCCCTTTTGTAATAGAACAAGGAGGACATTTAGAGAATATTCAAAGACTAACATCTGTAAATGTTAAGAGTATTTTCTGGCCTACTGAGTCATTCTGGCATCAAGCTAAAGGTGGCCACCCTTTCTCTCGATGACAGAAGTTTCTAACCAAACTGGTGCGAAAGTGTTAGTGATCTGAAAATATCCCTTTTTTCCCCCCTGGTTTCTGATCTAAATGATCTAGGCAGGGAATAGAAAATAAAAGCTATTAGTGTAGTTTTCAAGTACTACCATTCACAAAGAAAGGATCCACCTATAAAGTTGTATTTTTACATTACTGTGTTGTTAAGAAATGAAATGCATACACACACACTGACACAAATTAATTTATAGCAGCAACTGCATAGGGAGATTGTGCAAAATAAACTACAGACGCAGATATCCAGATAAGTACCGACTCCACAAAGTATAATTTATCTTGGTAACCTAAAACATCCTAATGAAGAAATCTCTTTCCCGGTTCGAAAAACAAATTCAGGGCTACAGTTCACCAGTTTTTAGACAACTAAAGTTATTCTCAAAACAACGGTGGTTAGTAAGATAAGTTCCTTTTTGGAACTTTAGTTTGGTGGAGGAGGTCGGTTTAATAAAACTATTGGAAAGTGTTTGAGTTGTAAAATCTACTTACTGTTTTTACAGCATCGCTCAGAGCTTCCCATTGATGAAATGAAATTGCAATCCTACTGCGGTACCAGAAGTCATAGCGAGTTCGCCTCTTTACATCGGTCAGGGTTTCCTTAGCTTCTTGCAACTTTTGAAACTGTTTCACTGAAATGTGAAAATAAAAACAAGTTCGCAACAAATACATTTGACAAACAAAAAAAGAATACAATGAGTTCCAAACAATAATAAACCAAAAAGCAATTTTCCCAAGAACCTCTATGGATGATCTTTGATGGTCAGATATTTGACTCTGAATGAGAAAGTTAGTGTCGATAAAAAGAACATGTGCAACAGTGCTCACAAGGCGCAGAAAGTTGATCAAATCACCACGACAAAGCGAGACATGCTGCTTTTCTCCCTGGAATTATAGGACTTAATACAGATTATACTATTGTGTCTCCTAGTCCTCCTTCACATATTCCATTCCTTCCACTTAAAAATATTTGCATTGAATAAAACCATAGGACAGAGATTGCAACACAAAGGAAAATATTCTGGTTCACTCTTCAGGAAACAAAGCTACCAAACTTGATCCTGATAGCTCTTTTCAAAGAGCCGCACAGACATGGTTGGCCGAATGGCCTCCTTCTGTGCTGTATAATTCTATGATCTATGATTCTATGAAACAGGTCCCTCCAGTGGTGATTGGAGTGTTTTCGCCTTCCTTGAAACAAAATATAAGTGGAAAATGTTGTATCTCTGACAGTTCTGCATCAGTCTGGCTCAGGGTCCAGTACACTGAAGTGAAACAGAAAAGCACAGAGCTGCACTAGCTACCATCAGATCATGTGTGTTTTTTTTAAGCCAGCTTATAATTAATACCCACCATCTATTAATAGAGATGCATTTTCATTTTCAGAAATACATTATTTTGATGGTCCTGATTAGGTTAACTATTATTATTATATATGGCTGAATGGATTTAAAATATAAACATTCACATTTTATCCCTCTTCGTCTCTGACACAATATCTACGCATCTTTTCTGAGGGAAAGTAAAACACGGTCAAAGAGGAAGATTTTTGGGCGGGACTTGAACAAGGAGAGAGGGGGGGGCAAGGCGGAGGGATTGAGGGAGAGTGTTCCAGAGTTTCAGGGCATAGTGGCAGAAAGCGCGACCACTGATGGTGGGGCAGAGGGTGCAAGGGACGAGCAGGAGGCCGGTGCCAGTCGAACGGAGGCTCCGGGTGGTGGATTGCGGAGTGAGGAGGTCAAAGAGGTAGGGAGGTGCCAGAGAGTGAAGGGACTTGAACACACGTGTGAGGATCTTAAAGTTAATCCATTCAGTGATAGGGAGCCAGTGAAGCCTGGCCAGAACTGGTGAGATGTGGGTACGGAGTTTGGTCCAGGTAAGTATGTGGGTGGTAGAGTTCTAAATGAGCTGCATCTTTTGAATAGTGGAGCTGGGGAGACCGGCGAGGAGTGCGTTTGAGTAATCCAAGCGAGAGGTGATAAACATATGCACGAGGGTTTCAGCTACATTTGAGATAGAGAAGGGTCAGAGGTGGGCAATGTGGCTGAGGTGGAAGAAGGTGGTCCTAGTCATGGACCGATGAAGGACAGCTGGGGGTCGAAACGGACATCTAGGTTGCACACTGGTTTGGTGAGTCTGAGGGAGAGCCCAGGGACATCAAAGGGTTTAGATCTGGAGGAGTGAAGATGTTGACGGGAACCAAGGAGTATGGCTTCCATCCTGTCCACATTCAGCTGCAGGGAACTTGCACTAATCTGAGCCATACATTTTGTAGTTGTACAATTCCTTAAAACATGGCAACCATTATTAATCTGATATAACTAGTTAACTTGGTCCTACTTGTGTGAATAAATTTGGGTATTATTCTACTCTTTGGTCATGAAACTACAGCATCATTCTGATTTACATAGCAAATAATAATGTAAATCACCCTCTCATCTGCCACGATATCAGAGTTTAAGGGAATTTAAGATGATTGAATTCACGTTGAATAAAACGCAACCTAGCAACTTCAGTAATAAATTAGAGCAACAGGATATTATGATTCATGTATTTACAGAAGAATGTGATGGCAATTAATGATAAGCCATCAAGGAAGTATTTGTAGTGATTTTACACATATTGTGATAAACAAAAGGAAATGATACTAACTAAATACGTATTTCATGAACGTTAAAGCCTGAAAACAAGCCTTTCGGCCCAATTTGTCCATTTATACTCCACATCGGCTCTTTCTATCGCCTCTCCTATACTCTTCTATTTTCTTCTCCTTCAACAATCCCCTAGACAAAATTGGCCATTTACCTCATGGTTGTTTGTGAAACTTTGATGTATGCATTTTTTTTATTACTACAGTACTCACTCAACACAAAACAGAAATAGTGAAAATCTTCACATCAATCAGCATTTTCGAAAGAAACAGGTTGACATTTCAGTTAGAATCTTTCTAACGTCCCAAAGCGCTTCACAGAACACACTGTAAAGTGAATTGACTGTATATTTGTGGGCGAACTGCAGCTGGTTGCCCCCAGCAATGTCCCACAAACAGTCATGGATTGAAAATGACCAATTTTTTTTTTTGTTTGTTTTTTTTTTGTTTTTTTTTGAGGGATTATTAGGGAGACAATGAATTTTGCCAGGTGAGCAAGTGACAAAAATGACCTTTCCCTACTGCCAGTGTGAAAGGCTGGACACTGAAGAGAGTGAGCAGGAAGTTAGCACAGACTTTGGTTAAATCCTATCCATCGGATAGCAAAATATTGCAACTGGAGGCATTATGAATACAGAGATTCAAGGAAAAGATGGACAATTGTGTCGGTGTACTTTGTTTTTAAAAGCCCAAGAAATATACACTTGCCTGCTTTTGGGTTTTCAGGATGCCTGTCTGGATGACATTCAAGTGCCTTCGTTTTAAACTCAGCGAGGATTTGTTCTGCCTGACAAAAAAACATCATTATACAATTTGGAATAATTAAATAAAATGTAATGAAAATGACAATGAAAAATACGCTCAATGGATTAGTCATTCTTTGAACTAACATTCCTTTTTACATCGTTTATTGCCCCTTTCCCAATGCTTTTGATTTAATTGTTGCGTCTCAGCCGCGATCCTTGCCTTTCAGGAAATTAATGATTTGTTCTGCAGTAATACACTCTCTATGGTAACAATTGCTCATGCCGTCTGTCTGGCAGATGCTTGTGTTTCTGCACGTATTGTAGAGTCCTGGATGGACTTATCATGGAAAAACCTACTGATAAAATCCATTACTGGCTCAATTAATGCATCCGACGAAATGAAGCAGCTGCTCATTTAAGGAAACAAAGATTGGTGAACTTTCAAATATTAAAACTGGAGATCCTTTAATGAATAGAATATGTATTTTAACTATAAGTTCTATAAACTTGAAATACATACATCAGCACATTGCTATCTTTGACAGTACCTCTCTTTGGATCCACTGTATTTGATATTGAGGTCAGGTTAATGAACTATGAATCACACACCACAAGGCAAACTCTTAAGAGTCACTTGGAAAACATCCTGTCCACGGCTTTCAATCCAAAGTCGTGAAATTGTCAATACTGAACATTGCATTCTTCCCAACAAAATCTCAGGTACAGACAGATTGCTCCAATTGCTTGGCTTTGACATGGAAGTCAGCGCTTTGAGACATCTCAACGTTGTGATCAGGCGCTATGTCAAAAGCAAGGATTATTATTATTACTGCTACCAGACACGCGGAAATAATAGCAACAGTGACAATTATTTACAAAAGAATTCTAAAAAGGGGGTGTGGGGGGGGGGGAAATGCACAATACTTGACAGGTCCCAATGAAAATTGGTCTGACGTCCTCCTCGGGGGAGGGGTGTGTGTGGTTGTGTGGGTGGGTGTGGGGGTGTGTGTGGTTGTGTGGGTGTGTGGGGGTGTGTATGTGTGTGTGGGTGGGGGTGTGTGTGTGGGTGTGGGGGTGTGTGTGGTTGTGTGGTTGTGTGGGGGTGTGTGGGGGTGTGTGTGTGGGTGTGTGGGGGGGGGTGGGGGTGTGTGGGTGGGGGTGTGTGGGTGTGTGGGGGGGTATGTGTGTGGGTGTGTGGGTGTGGGGGTGGGTGTATTACTAGCATTTACAGTCATTTAGCAAAACACCAGGATAACCGGACACATCTGCCCCCCAAAAAAAATTAATAAGAATAATAAACAGCGCAGCGGTCAATAGTGCGACACAGCAGCTGTTCGTTCGTGTTCAATGCAAACGCGCAGCTACAAGTGAGTGATAGTGAGTGAGTGATAGTGAGTGGTAGTGAGTGAGTGGTAGTGAGTGAGTGATAGTGAGTGAGTGATAGTGAGTGAGTGGTAGTGAGTGAGTGGTAGTGAGTGGTAGTGAGTGAGTGGTAGTGAGTGAGTGGTAGTGAGTGAGTGATAGTGAGTGGCAGTGAGTGAGTGAGTGAGTGAGTGAGTCTCACCGTGGACAGCTCGTCGCAGCCCAGGATAGTGTAATAATCCTCCAGGTCCTCGGGCTCACTCTTCAACATCTCCTCCATCGGCGATGATGGAACTGAACCCTCAGCCACGGGGGCAGCTTCACTGACCCAACAGCGGGGAGAGAGGGGGAGAGAGGGGGAGAGAGAGAGGGAGGGGAGAGAGAGAGGGAGAGAGAGAGGGGGGGAGAGAGAGGAGAGAGGGGGAGAGAGAGAGAGAGAGAGGGGGGGAGAGAGGGGGGAGAGAGAGAGAGAGGGGGGGAGAGAGAGAGAGAGGGGAGAGAGAGAGAGAGGGGGAGAGAGAGAGAGAGGGGAGAGAGAGAGAGAGGGGGAGAGAGAGAGAGAGGGGAGAGAGAGAGGGGAGAGAGAGAGAGAGAGGGAGAGAGAGAGAGAGGGAGACGGAGTTACCTGACCCGACTCGGCCAATGGCTGCGGATGGCTCTGGAGTCGGCGCTGCCCTTTTTAAAGAGGACCGTCAACCAGAGGAGGTGCCGACCACCCGCTGCGCCCATTGGAGCGAACCCCACCCCCCCCCACCCCGGGCAAACCCGCATGCGCACTCCAGCACTCGATGTGAGGGGATGGGGGTGGGGTGGGGGGGGACTTGTGTTTCTCCCCCCCCCAAAAAAAACAAAATATACAGTAACTTTTTTTTGTAGTTTTATTGCATGATGTTCAAGACAACAAATGTTTTGTAAAATTTCTCCCTCCATATAGATCTATATGGATATCTGTCAATCAAAAAAAAGTCCACCCAGAGCTGCAGGTAAGGCCACCAAAGTGCACGTGTCATCAACGATGCCTTCCTCACGCCCCTCATCCCCTCTGCTCCACCATTGCGCTTTCAGCCTCTGTGCCCACCTGAATACTGGGTGTCTTATGTTTCTCTGTGCATGTGTAGGGGGCTCTCATTCTGTGTGTATGTATCTCAGTATTATTGAGTGGGGCTTTCACTGTGTGGATGTATCTCTGTGTATATGTACAACAACGACTTCCATATATATAGGGACCTTCACGTAGGGTAGCATTCTGGAGTGGCCCTCACTCTGTGTGTGTGTGTATCTCTGTGTATAGGAGACTGTCACTCTGTGTGTGTGTGTGTGTGTGTGTGTATCTCAGTGTCTTAACTTAAGCTTCGCAGACCTGCCCTTGCCTGATTCCATTCTTATCTGTCTCACCGTCTCCACTTTGTTGCCTCTAATGGTTTCTCCTCCAGCCTACGCACTGTCACGTTTGGCGTCCCCCAGTGCTCAAGTCCTGGATGAGAGCAAATTTCCTACAGTTGAATGTGAACAAGACTGAGGCCCTCCTGATTGGCTCACGCCAGCGCCTCAGCACCTCAGGCTCTGGCAGTATCAACCTCCGTGGTTGCACACTTCAACTCACCAAGTCAGGAAACTAGGTGTCTTGTTCGACCCTCAACTGTCCTTTCTTCCCCACATCCAAGCCATGACCCGCTCTTCCTTCCCTCACCTCCCGTAACATCACCTAACTCCACCACTACCTCAGGCCTCTGAAACTCTTGTTCATGCCTTCATTACCTCATGGCTCGACTATGCAAATACCCTGCTTGTCGACCTTCCCAACTCCTCCCTCCACAGGCTGCAGATAATCCAGAACTCTGCAGCCCGTGTCCTCTCCTGCACAAACTCAGTGACCCCATCTCCCCCATTCTCACCCGACTCCACTGGCTCCCTATCCTTCAGAGGATCCAGTTCAAGATCCTGGTCCTCAGCTACGAAGCCCTCCATTGCCTCCCCCCACCCTACCTCTGTGTCCTCCTAACCCCCTACCAACCCGCCCGCTCCCTCCGCTCAGCCGGCTCCGGCCTGCTCCATGTCCCCCGACCCATCCGCCCCACCATTGGCGGGAGAGCCTTCAGCCACTCTGCACCAAACCTCTGGAATTCCATCCCCCAATCATTCCACTCGCCCCCTCCTTAGCCTCCTTCAAGTCCCGTTTCAAAATCCTTCTCTTCGACCATGCCATCGGCCACCCCCCTTCCCCTCCCCTCCCTTCTCCCTCCCTGACCCCAGCTCGGGTCTGAAATGTTGTACACTGTCCAGCGCTTTTGGACGTCCTCTCGATGTGAAAGGCGCTATACAAATGTAATCTTGTTGTGTATCAGGGCTGTCACTGTGTGTGTGTGTGTATAGGGGGCTGTCACTGTATATGTATCTCACTGTACCTGAGGCCATCACTGTGTGTGTATAGGGGGCTGACACTCTGTGTGTATCTCATTGTGTATCTCAGTGTGTATAGGGGGTTCTCACTGTATGTATCTTAGTGTGTATAGGGGCCTGTCACTGTGTGTGTATACAACAACAACAACTTGGATTTATATAGAGCCCTCCATACTGGACGGCGTCTCAGAGAGCTTCACGATAACGGATCCCGGGGCCGAGCCAGGGGGAGGGGGAAGAAGGTGACCAAAGGCGCGGTCAAAGGTGACCAAAGGCGCAGTGTAGGGGGCTGTCACTGTATGTATCTCAATATGTATAGGGGGCTTTCACTGTATATGTATCTCAGCGTGTATAGGAGGCTGACACTGTGTATCTGTGTATAGGGGACTGTCGCTGTGTGTGTGTATAGGGGGCTGTCACTGTGTGTTTGTATAGGGTGCTCTCACTGTTATGTAATCTCAGTGTGTATAAGTGGCTGACACCGTGTATGTGTGTATAGGGGACTTTCACTGTGTGTGTGTGAATAGGGGACTGTCACTGCGTGTGTGTATAGGGGATGTCACTGTGTGTGTGTACAGGGGGCTGTTACTGTGTGTGTATTTTGGGGACTGTCACTGTGTGTGTGTAGAGGGAATGTCTCTGTGTGTGTGTATAGGGGGATGTCACTGTCTGTGTGTGTGTATAAGGGGCTGTCACTGTGTGTGTGTGTATATAGGACGCTGTCACTATGTGTGTATAGGGGCCTGACAACTGTGTGTGTGTGTGTGTGTATAGGGGGCTGTGACTGTATGTAGGGGGCTGACACTGTGTGTGTGTATCTCAGTGTATCTGGGGCTGACACTGTGTGTGTGTGTATCTCAGTGTATCTGGGGCTGACACTGTGTGTGTGTATAGGCGGCTGACACTCTGTGTGTGTGTGCAGGGAGCAGACACTGTGTGTGTCTGTGTGTAGGGGGCTGACACTGTGTGTATAGGGGGCTGACACTGTGTGTGTGTGTGTGTGTGTGTGGAGTGGGCTGACACTGTGTATCTCGGTGTATGTGGGGCTGACACTGTGTATCTCAGTGTGTCTGGGGCTGACACCGTGTGCATCGCAGTGTGTCTGGGGCTGACACCGTGTGTACCTCAGTGTGTCAGGGGCTGACACTGTGTGTATCTTAGTGTATGTGGGCTGACACTGTGTGTATCTCAGTGTATGTGGGGCTGACACTGTATCTCAGTGTATGTGGGGCTGACACTGTGTGTGTCTCAGTGCATGTGGGGCTGACACTGTGTGTGTCTCAGTGCATGTGGGGCTGACACTGTGTGTGTCTCAGTGCCTGTGGGGCTGACACTGTGTGTGTCGCAGTGCATGAGGTGCTGACACTGTGTGTGTCTCAGTGTGTCTGGGGCTGACACTGTGTGTGCCTCAGTGTATGTGGGTTTGACTCTCAGTGGATGTGGGACTGACACTGTGTGTGTCTCAGTGCCTGTGGGGCTGACCCTGTGTGTGGGGCTGACACTGTGTGTGTCTCAGTGGATGTGGGGCTGACACTGTGTGTGGCTCAGTGCCTGTGGGGCTGAAACTGTGTGTGTCTCAGTGCCTGTGGGGCTGACAGTGTGTGTGTCTCAGTGCCTGTGGGGCTGACCCTGTGTGTGGGGCTGACCCTGTGTGTGGGGCTGACACTGTGTGTGGAGCTGGCACTGTGTGTGTCTCAGTGCCTGTGGGGCTGACACTATGTGTGGGGCTGACACTGTGTGTGTCTCAGTGGATGTGGGGCTGACACTGTGTGTGTCTCAGTGCCTGTGGGGCTGACCCTGTGTGTGTCTCAGTGGATGTGGGGCTGACACTGTGTATCTCGGTGTATGTGGGGCTGACACTGTGTATCTCGGTGTATGTGGGGCTGACACTGTATCTCAGTGTATGTGGGGCTGACACTGTGTGTGTCTCAGTGCATGTGGGGCTGACACTGTGTGTGTCTCAGTGCATGTGGGGCTGACACTGTGTGTGTCTCAGTGCCTGTGGGGCTGACACTGTGTGTGTCGCAGTGCATGAGGTGCTGACACTGTGTGTGTCTCAGTGTGTCTGGGGCTGACACTGTGTGTGCCTCAGTGTATGTGGGTTTGACTCTCAGTGGATGTGGGACTGACACTGTGTGTGTCTCAGTGCCTGTGGGGCTGACCCTGTGTGTGGGGCTGACACTGTGTGTGTCTCAGTGGATGTGGGGCTGACACTGTGTGTGTCTCAGTGCCTGTGGGGCTGACAGTGTGTGTGTCTCAGTGCCTGTGGGGCTGACCCTGTGTGTGGGGCTGACCCTGTGTGTGGGGCTGACACTGTGTGTGGAGCTGACAATGTGTGTGTCTCAGTGCCTGTGGGGCTGACACTGTGTGTGGGGCTGACACTGTGTGTGTCTCAGTGCCTGTGGGGCTGACACTGTGTGTGGGGCTGACACTGTGTGTGTCTCAGTGCCTGTGGGGCTGACACTGTGTGTGGGGTTGACACTGTGTGTGTCTCAGTGCCTGTGGGCTGACCCTGTGTGTGGGGTTGACACTGTGTGTGTCTCAGTGCCTGTGGGGCTGACCCTGTGTGTGGGGCTGACCCTGTGTGTGGGGCTGACACTGTGTGTGGGGCTGACACTGTGTGTGTCTCAGTGCCTGTGGGGCTGACACTGTGTGTGTCTCAGTGGATGTGGGGCTGACACTGTGTGTGGGGCTGACACTATGTGTGTCTCAGTGCCTGTGGGGCTGACACTGTGTGTGTCTCAGTGGATGTGGGGCTGACCCTGTGTGTGGGGCTGACACTGTGTGTGTCGCAGTGCATGAGGTGCTGACACTGTGTGTGTCTCAGTGTGTCTGGGGCTGACACTGTGTGTGCCTCAGTGTATGTGGGTTTGACTCTCAGTGGATGTGGGACTGACACTGTGTGTGTCTCAGTGCCTGTGGGGCTGACCCTGTGTGTGGGGCTGACACTGTGTGTGGGGCTGACACTGTGTGAGTTTCAGTGCCTGTGGGGCTGACCCTGTGTGTGGGGCTGACACTGTGTGTGTCTCAGTGGATGTGGGGCTGACACTGTGTGTGGGGCTGACCCTGTGTGTGGGGCTGACACTGTGTGTGTCTCAGTGGATGTGGGGCTGACACTGTGTGTGGGGCTGACCCTGTGTGTGGGGCTGACACTGTGTGTGGGGCTGACCCTGTGTGTGTCTCAGTGCCTGTGGGGCTGACACTGTGTGTGGGGCTGACACTGTGTGTGTCTCAGTGCCTGTGGGGCTGACCCTGTGTGTGGGGCTGACACTGTGTGTGTCTCAGTGGATGTGGGGCTGACACTGTGTGTGGGGCTGACCCTGTGTGTGGGGCTGACACTGTGTGTGTCTCAGTGGATGTGGGGCTGACACTGTGTGTGGGGCTGACCCTGTGTGTGGGGCTGACACTGTGTGTGTCTCAGTGCATGTGGGGCTGACACTGTGTGTGTCTCAGTGCCTGTGGGGCTGACACTGTGTGTGTCGCAGTGCATGAGGTGCTGACACTGTGTGTGTCTCAGTGTGTCTGGGGCTGACACTGTGTGTGCCTCAGTGTATGTGGGTTTGACTCTCAGTGGATGTGGGACTGACACTGTGTGTGTCTCAGTGCCTGTGGGGCTGACCCTGTGTGTGGGGCTGACACTGTGTGTGTCTCAGTGGATGTGGGGCTGACACTGTGTGTGTCTCAGTGCCTGTGGGGCTGACAGTGTGTGTGTCTCAGTGCCTGTGGGGCTGACCCTGTGTGTGGGGCTGACCCTGTGTGTGGGGCTGACACTGTGTGTGGAGCTGACAATGTGTGTGTCTCAGTGCCTGTGGGGCTGACACTGTGTGTGGGGCTGACACTGTGTGTGTCTCAGTGCCTGTGGGGCTGACACTGTGTGTGGGGCTGACACTGTGTGTGTCTCAGTGCCTGTGGGGCTGACACTGTGTGTGGGGTTGACACTGTGTGTGTCTCAGTGCCTGTGGGGCTGACCCTGTGTGTGGGGTTGACACTGTGTGTGTCTCAGTGCCTGTGGGGCTGACCCTGTGTGTGGGGCTGACCCTGTGTGTGGGGCTGACACTGTGTGTGGGGCTGACACTGTGTGTGTCTCAGTGCCTGTGGGCTGACACTGTGTGTGGGGCTGACACTATGTGTGTCTCAGTGCCGGTGGGGCTGACACTGTGTGTGTCTCAGTGGATGTGGGGCTGACCCTGTGTGTGGGGCTGACACTGTGTGTGTCGCAGTGCATGAGGTGCTGACACTGTGTGTGTCTCAGTGTGTCTGGGGCTGACACTGTGTGTGCCTCAGTGTATGTGGGTTTGACTCTCAGTGGATGTGGGACTGACACTGTGTGTGTCTCAGTGCCTGTGGGGCTGACCCTGTGTGTGGGGCTGACACTGTGTGTGGGGCTGACACTGTGTGAGTTTCAGTGCCTGTGGGGCTGACCCTGTGTGTGGGGCTGACACTGTGTGTGTCTCAGTGGATGTGGGGCTGACACTGTGTGTGGGGCTGACCCTGTGTGTGGGGCTGACACTGTGTGTGGGGCTGACCCTGTGTGTGTCTCAGTGCCTGTGGGGCTGACACTGTGTGTGGGGCTGACACTGTGTGTGTCTCAGTGGATGTGGGGCTGACACTGTGTGTGTCTCAGTGGATGTGGGGCTGACACTGTGGCCGCCTCTGACCCGCACTTGTGCGCAGTCGCGGGCCGGTCACGTGACTGTTTAAACCTCTGGGTGACAAGATGGCGGACGCGGAGAAAGGCTCGAGAAGCGGCGAAGGCGACGGTGTAAAAGGAGAGGAGCCGCTCACCAAGAGAGCGCGTCTGGGGGGACAAGAGGTCGCCAGTGTGGCGGAGAGTCGGCCGGAGCAGCAGGAGGAGGAGGAGGAGGAGGGGGGAGAGAGCGGCTGGGAGAGCGCCTCCTGTGCCGAGGGCTCCCCGGAGGCGGGCGCGGTGGGGGCGGAGGGAAGGAGAAGGAGGAGGAGAGCGACGGCCGCGGCAGCAGCGAACGGTGGTCTCGGGCCGCAGCCGCCGCACAACAAAGAGCCGCACAGCGAGGGTCTGGCCGAGTCGGGGCCGGAGAGCAGGCCTTCAGCTGGGGAAGGTAGGGTCACTGAGGGCCGGGGCCGGGGCCGCGGCGCGGCGACCGGTGAGAGCGAAGTTGGCCGACAGATCCGCCCCCAAATAAAACTGGACTCTCATTCCATGGCTGTTGTGGGACGTCGCTGTGCGCAAACTGTCTGCTGAGTGTCGCTCACCAAATGCACAGTCGATTCATTTTCGATGGTGTATCTCGCCAAGCGCTTTGAGACGTTTCGACGACGTGATAAGGCGTTATATATATATATGAAAGGCAAAAGATTATTTGGTTTGGTCTGTGTCCGCAGAGTAACGGGTTTCCGGGGACGAGCAGCCTCACCGGCTGCCGCAGGGGAGCGTTTACAGATGGCCTGAGTGCACTTCGGGTCTTGTGTTTGGATCAGTAAAAACTGGTAGCTTGGATTTGGCAAAAGAAAAGTTTCTGTTTCATAAATCTTGCATTTGATATAGTGCCTTATCACGTCTTCGAGCCGTCTCCAAGTGCTTTGCACAGTATACTGTAAAGTGAATTGACTGTATATTATGTGGGTGAATGCTAATCAATTACGCACAGCAGTGTTCCACCAACGGTCGTGGATTGAAGTGACCAATTTTTTTTGAAGGAATTATTATTCTCGGAAAATCGACTAATGACCGGGTTCCTACTTAAAGCTAGGTAAACGGAGGCGTGTGGAGTAAGGAAACTTGCCCAACATTTTGCCCTGCTGGGAATCGAATCCAGGTCTCTCACTTGCGAGGCGAGTGCTTTTACCACTGAGCTAATGGGGGATGAATAAACTGATAACATAAATGTATCCTTTGTTTTGCATTGATGAATAAGAGTGTGGAGAGCAGTCAATCGAACATGTTGCCTTGTGTATCCGCTCTGAATTTGACCATAAACTACTTTTAATTATTTATGTTGTCAGGTAAGAGCAAATTGGAAGAACAAGCGATTGACTGTAAATCCATATGGCACTTTTTTAAAGTGTTCTGTATTAAATGTCACATTTTCAAATCAAAATATATCAATATTTATTCTTGAATAACTTTCAGCAATGCGATGTTAATACAGAATAAAATGCCCTAGAATTGGTTTGTGCTTTAAAATGTGGAAATGTCATAAAAAATGAGTGTATAATTTCTAATGTATAAAATCTACTTCAAAGAGATTGTAGTATGAAACCTGATTATGACTTTAAAAACTGTTCTATGTTTGCCAGTGGAGCACTGATATTGAATCTATTTGTATCATTACTAACATTTCATTTCTTTATTATCATAACTATTGAAAAGTTGTACTCTGTTTCAAATTTCAGACAATTTCAAATAACAGTAACAAAATTATATTTGTTTAGCAGCTTTCATGTCGGGAGGAAGTCCCAAGATGCTGGATAGTTGCTGTGAATTTTAGATATGAGTCCAAATATTTATTGTAGTGTTTAAACTAAACCATGCTTTTATGTCTTAACTAATAATGCTGTAAATTTATTGGTAATTGGAATTGTGCTAGGACAGTCCCAAGTGAAATTTTTAAAGACTTTGCTGACTTCTCATTAAGAACCTGGTGGTTCACAAAGACTGACATGGAATATGTGAATAGTGCCTGTCTCCCAGTAGATCGACCTCAAATTCTCACTCCCCTACAAATTGCTTCACACTTCTCATCTTCTCCAACTTCACTCTCCTTGCAAACTCGGGGTGGCTGTGCATTCCTCCCCCTCTACTTTTACTCCTTATTCTTACTCTGATATCAGTCTTCAACAACCACCTAAAATCTTGACTCTTTGACTGTGCCTACAGTCACCTTTCCCACCATCCCTGGTTGGTATCCGGCACCATCTCAATAAAGGCTCCACTCCGATACTGCTCTGCATGGAGGACACTTATATAAATGCAAGTTAGCAATCTTCCTGATGGGTGTGGATTGGGTTAAATACAGTTAAGTTCCCTCTCTTGTCCAGATCAGACCTAACTCCAAACTTGGGGCATCTTCTCTAATTGCAAAAGTATGATCACTTTATCCTTAGTTAACCTTATGGCCTCTGAATTAGATTGCCAATTAGGTTCCATTGATCTATTTTTAAACATTAGATGTTAATTAGACAATTAATTAATTTAATTAATTAGATGGTAGCTCAGCCTCTAAATGTTAATTAGAGGCTGAGCTACCATCGCTGAAATTTGCTTCAAGGAGCCTGAGAAATTCTCATCCAGGCCTCAGAAGTGAGTTGAGCAGTGTATTAGGCCCACTGTATCAACACTTTTTTTAAGTATATACAAACTTGAACATTATAAGTTTCCTCATGAGTGAGAATGCTCAAAGCATTTTGCAGGCTTGCTTAAAAAATTAATGGTGACATGTCCAGTGCAAAACAAAACCTTTAAAATGATTTATCCAAATTTTTAGTAATATAGTAACACCAGCTGCTTTCCAGCAACAATCATCATTTTTTTCTGGTTGTTCAAGAAATTAACTTGTCCAAAAATCTTCTGAGAATAAGGTACCTAGTAAAGGCACTTCAATTAATATAGTCATGAAAATGGTTGGTCCTTGATTTTAAAAAAAATTATCTCATGGGATTTCACAGAATTGTTCACCTTTACCTTATAATGAATGCTATTGCCATATTTATGATGTGCATTGTGTTTTTGCTTCAGGAGACAGTTTACTTCTGAGTAATACAGTAAGCAGTGCTACTGATGAAGAAATCGTTCCAAATGGGATTCACTCATGGGAAAGTGATGAGGAAGACAAAGCTTCTCATGCAAGCTCCAGTGACTGGGCTCCAGGATGTCCCAAGATAGGTACAGGTTAATACAAATTGATATCATGATTATTTCAGTTGGGATATGAAAATTCTTTTTTTTTTTTTGGCTTCCACATACATCCTAATTGGAAGGCAACCTAATTCTAGTTTGTGGCATTCATGCTGTGAAATCACAAGAGTGGGTAGGGTTATTGTTCTGTTTATTTTCCCACCTTCCCTCTCAGTGAAGTTGCTACCGTTGCTCAGCAATTCACTGAAGTGCCCGCCTGAATTTTATGCACATAATCCATGCAAGCTGAACTTTACCTTTTTGCCTTTGCAATTCAGGATTTTTTAATCCACCTATTGTAGATTTAGATGCCATTTATTGTTTCTATACAATAAAGTAAATTATTTGAGTATGAAAAAATATTCTCTAATTATTTGTGTTTAGATCTATATTACTAATATGACTGAACTTTCTTATATTAACTCCTAGTATTTAAAGTCCTGAATCTGTATTCTGTTCTGTTCAAAAATATTGTCCAAACTTCATTCAGTGTTCATTTTAACCAGCACTTTTTTTAATTAACTTGATTTTTTTCACCTTTCTTCCCTAATCATCTCTAGGTCCTTACAGTTTTGTTCAGCAGCATCTTATGCTGGGCACAGACCCACGGTCTATCTTGAAGGATCTGTTACGAGGGAACAGTGCTCCACCTGACCTTGATGATATGACACTATGGCAGATTGTCCTTAACATTTTGTCGGAGCCACCAAAACGGAAGAAACGGAAAGATATCAATACAATAGAAGATGTTGTGAAAATGTTGAGAGAGAGCAAGAAAATCATGGTCCTGACTGGAGCTGGGGTTTGTAAAAATAAAACAACCTTTGTCCAAATCCCTGACTGTCCAGCGCCTTGGGACATCCTCCCGACATGAAAGGCGCTATACAAATGTAATTTTGCATTGTATTATTAAAATTAATGGGTTTAATAATCATGTGAATAAGTCAATACAATAAGCATTCTTAAATGTTCAGAATAGTAACTCAGGAACAGGAGCGTGTTCTTATTTATTAATATAAAAAGGTTGCAATTTAAAAAATATATAATTATCCTTTGGAAACTAAATGAGCAATATGGCCAGCTTTTATTTTTTCCATATGACTAATATATTTCATTTTTAATTTGATTTGGTTTAATTTGATTTGAAGGTTTCTGTTTCATGTGGAATACCAGACTTCAGATCAAGAGATGGGATTTATGCACGGCTTGCAGTAGATTTTCCAGACCTTCCAGACCCTCATGCCATGTTTGACATTGAATATTTCAGAAAAGATCCTAGGCCATTTTTTAAGTTTGCAAAGGTATGTATTATTTTGATGCAGGAATTAATTTAGTGCATATGGGGTCCCCTTGGAGCTGAATGTCTCCAGGATGGCATGTTTGACAACGGAATGTCTGACTGAGCCCACCTTCTGTGGCAGTCTCAGTTGTCCAGTTCCTGAGCTAGGCGACACTGCTGATGACAGTACAACTAGTCTGGCTCATCTGCAGGACTTGGTGAGACTCTACGTATTCAGCTGCCAGCAAGCCCCACCAAATCCTAACAGGTAGGATAGTCCTAGCTAGACAAACCGTGGGAATGCTTGCTCAGCAGTGCTTTCAATGGTAAGCTATGCAGTTTTAGCTGGCTCGACTCCCATACAGTACACAAACTCACACTCTAAGGTCTTCAAGCCTTGATTCTTGCTAATCTGGTATAATACTTACGGAATTAAGTTAGCAGAATACGACCCTCCAGAAAGAATGTGCATCCCATTCCAATAAACATCTCCGCAATTTCCATCTATAGATGGGATGCATGAAACACTGTATTTGAGTTCTCTTAAGCATGATGGGTTTCTGCATGTGTCAGATGCCCTGCTGACCAAAAAAACGTTTTGAGCAAGATTATAGTAGCTTCCTTACAGCCTTGCAAAGGCTTGAACAGGTTTGCACACTTAATGTAAACTGAATTAACTTGCTTTCTTTGAGGTATATTATGGAAAAACGGTCTAATTCTAATAAAATTGTGTTAAAAAACAAGTAATTTTAAAAGGGGCAATTTGTATTGGATATACAAACTTAAACCCTCAAATTGTTCACCAAATGTCAGTTTGTTTCTACAAGTAACAGATTGTGCTTGTAATGGACTTCTTTCTTGATATTTAACTTTCTATATGTTTTCATTATTTAGGAAATTTACCCTGGCCAGTTCCAGCCATCTCTATGCCACAGGTTCATAGCTTTGCTGGATAAACAACAGAGGCTGCTTCGGAATTACACTCAAAACATTGATACCCTAGAACAAGTGACTGGTATTCACAGGATTGTTGAGTGTCATGGTTAGTCAAGCATAGATTTCTGCATAAATATTAAAAAAGCTGAATGATTGTCCCCTACTTCTGAAACAAGTCACGTTGTTGTAGACTAAAACAGATAAACGTGTGCTTGGAAAGAGTTACTCTATTTGTAGAAAGAATAAATTGTCACATAAAAACATTACTGAATTCCCTTAAATTTTTAAGAGCATATGTTCAATTCTAGCTGATCATGCTGTGTCATGGAATCACTGACAGGTGGCCATTTTTATAACATGAGCCATTCTACCGTGAAGCCTGATTTAATGGACTGAAACCACTTTGTTGTAATAAAGACTGACTGGATGTGCTTGTATCTATAGTCAATTCACTTTAGAATGTGCCAGGACTACACCGTTTTGCCCACAAATATACGGTCAATTCACTTTACAGTCTATTCTGTGAAGCGCTTTGAGACGTTGAGAAGACGTGAAAAGCGCTATATCAAGTGCAAGGATTATTATTATTGTTCCTACATTAGCAGAATTTATTCAAGGCAGCTGGTCATACATAACGATTATTATCACTTTTTTTATGTAAAATGTTTCATAAGTGAAATATAAACTTTTGCATACACCACTTTTGACTTTTTCTAGGCTCGTTTGCAATGGCTTCTTGTCTGGCCTGCAAATATAAGGTTGATTGTGAAGCAATAAGAAAAGATGTCTTCAATCAGGTAAGAATTGATAGTGCTTTTTTTCTCCAACATAATGGAATCATGGAACAAGAAAACGGCATCTTATCGACCTCATTACAGACCATGTCTAATCAACTCTTATTCTAGACTCCACCCTGCCCATTTAATATCTTGAGGGAATTTTTTGCATGAATGCACTCTGATCCCCAAAGGTAATCAAGAAAAACTCAAAAAAATGCAACCATCACTACATTGATACAATTCAGCCTGGTCTGTTCGCCATTGCCAGTTTTGTAATTAGGCTTAACTGCCTTTTCAGTGATATACTGGTGAACTGTCATTTTCTCTATGAATGAGGGATAATACAGGCTACCTGCTTTCAGGTTTTGTGCTGTTCTTGAACAAGCCCCACACATTTAGATTTTGATAGAAATCTATTTTTTTTAAAAATGTCTATTAAGGATGATGTAATTTAAGATCAAGCTGGTTTGTAACTAGAGCTTCACACAAAGCCCTGGGATAGGGATCATATTTATTTCCCTTAATTAGCCCACACATCATGTTCTGTGTCTTGCTGCCTGTTTGAGATTGGAAATTATTATGTGAGCTGTTAGTCATGAGCTTATGTCCCACTTCCTTTGGATGTTATATATCGATGTACCATTGGGTTGTCCAAGATAAGATTTTACAATTTGTAAAAACTAAATGTATTAAGTTCTAAAGTGTTGTATAGACAGATTAACAGGAAATTGATTTGAACAACTTAGCATTTCTCTACCCTAGGTGGTTCCTCAGTGCCCTAGGTGTCCTCCTGATGTTCCCCTTGCTATTATGAAACCAGATATCGTGTTTTTTGGAGAAAATTTGCCAGAGCTGTTCCACAGGAGTATGAAGTATGATAAAGATGAGGTGGATCTGCTGATTGTGATTGGATCCTCATTAAAAGTTCGGCCAGTGGCGCTTATACCAAGTAAGAAATGCAGAAGCTCATGCGAACTCGAAGATTCAGTTGTCTTAAGTTTTAATTGTAGTGCTGTATGGCTACATCGATCCATGGAACCAGTTTTATCAATAAATGTGGAATGTTGCCAAAGTGAACTTTCTTAAAAATGATGAGAGCTAAGATTGATCTTCAGTTATCTCAAAAGTTCCTTTTAGCAGTAGAAACTGAAATGAAGATGTAGAAGTTTATTTGCCTATTAATACTTCAAGAAACCTGGTTTGTATCAATTTTTAGTGTGTATGGAATTGAAAACAGAATTCTGTACTTAGTTTCTTAAATTGTCCTAGTTTCAACAGTTGTAATTTATGGTATGAAACTACAGTATAAAAGTATCAATAAATTTTGTTTAGTTTCAGCTAGAGAAATTATATATCATTAAATAATTTGATTCTTTCATGTAGGTTCCATACCCCATGATGTGCCTCAGGTGCTGATCAATAGGGAGCCGTTAAGTCACCTTAACTTTGATGTGGAACTCCTTGGAGATTGTGACGTTATTATTAATGAGTTATGTCATCGATTGAGTGGAGAGTTTGAAGAACTTTGTTGCAACCCAATCAAACTTACAGAAATTACAGTAAAACCTGTACGATGCCAAAAAGAACTGAAATGTCAGTCATTTGGAATGTGTCCCACACCAACTATTTTAACCGAGGATTCCAGTTCATATGAGAAAGAAATCCAGTCTTCAAAATCTGCAATCTCAACAGCTAAAAGTTATGAACACATGACAGAATCTGCTGAAAGCTGTACGAAGGAAAATAAAGAGGAATCTGGGGTAGAAACACTTTCTAGCGAGAAAGAAATGGAAAGCACTGTTTCTTTTCCAGAGAGCTCTGGAAATTGTAACAATGAGTTGCAGATCACCAAACCTACTGAAGAAAGTTCCTCAAACCTTGCCCCAGTAGATACCAAACCTGTTAATAAGGAAATCCTAAATAAAGGTTGCATCAGCAAAAATGCAAAAGAGCAAATCAGCAAACGATTGGGTGGTAAGTCCTACTCTTATCTCCTATCTTGTAAATTATGTTCCGATCTGAATCTTTAAACATTCTCCTTTGAATCTTCTCCAGATCTACGCTAAAATTGTTTCATATTTCCTCCTCCAATATAGAGTAACTTTAAACATTTCTGCGTTAAAATCCATTTGCTTATCTAACTAATTGTTAGATAAATCCCTTCTCAATGCCATCAATTTAATTTCCACTGCTCACTACCCTCGTAACTTAGTGTCATCAGATAAGTTATGAATTCATCCATTATGATTTATGAATAATTTGAACAGGTGATGCAGAATCGGTGCTGATAAAACTCCACTGGTTACTGCTTATTTCTTAACTAGAGAAGTTCTATTTTTGACTGACTGGATAAAATAGATCTACAAAATTGAATTCTTGCGCCTAATTAATGCCTGGTTCTCAACTATTATAAATGTGGCTGGAAGTATTAAACTATTTGTGTAATGTGTATTTCATACTTAATACAGAATAATCTTGTGTGATTCTCAATTTTTAGATTCGCAGTACTTGTTCTTGGCACCAAACCGCTACATTTTTCATGGTGCTGAAGTCTACTCTGACTCCGAGGGAGATGAGGGATCGTCATCTGGTAACAGTGTTAGTAATAGTGATAATGAGTCCAGCAGCAGCAAGAGTGTCTGTGATGTGGTGGAAGAGGAGAGTGATATTGAAGAATTTTATAATCGAATAGAGGACGAAATTGAAACTCCTTATTCAGCAGATGGAGTATACTTTGGGGATGAAAGTGAACATTTTGAAAATGCAGACGAGCTGAATGAGTCGGTTGAAAACCACGTGCAAAGTGAATTGGAAGATGCAAATATATTGGAGTAAAAGGGCACAAATGCATGAGATTACAGTATTTATGTTAAGATGTTCACCAGCATTAGCCTGCTTTAGGACACTTTACAGCCAGAAAGCTCTCCTGGATGGAACAGTGGCTTGAGATCATGTAGAATGTCAGTCTGAAACTTCTCCCATTGTATATTGGATAAAGTTCGGTACTAGGGGTTGTAATCCTGATCCCGCATGCTCATGGTGCTCCTAGGATTTTCCTTTATAAATTCCGGGAAGCTGCCCGAGCCCAGATGGAAGGAAAGGGCCGGTCTCCCTGCTCCCCGGAAACGAGTTGTACACTGCTGCCATGCTGGACCCCTGCCCCCACAAGGATAAGCTCATGAGCAGATGGGCAAGTCTTAAATCCTCCCTGATGTCCTTGGAGAACTGCAGGTGTCCTGGATGAGGCAAGATTTAGCATCCTGGGATTTGAGGCATTAAAATCCTGAAATCCCAGGATTCAGAAAGAGCACCGGGATTGCAACCCCTATTTGGTACATATGCACTGAAAACACTATGCCATCTACATTAACTTTTTTTTCTTGTGCTAAATATATTTTCTGCTTATTTCAATAATTTAAAAAAAAGTTAATCTGCATTGCCTGTATTGGACCCTCTTGGGGATGAGCAGAAGAATTTCTTTTGCCAAAATATCTGTTCATTCATTTTACTTTTTTTCACTTAACGTTTGAGTTGTACAGCTATTTAAGTGTTTCAGTTATTCAAAAGCTAAAGAATGTGTTGTATATAATTTTTTGTATATGCTTTTGGAAAAGCCATTTAATTGCAGAAAGGGATAAAGGGAACAGGTAAAAAGACCAAAGAACATTGGGATGTCTCAATGGTTACAGCAACTATAGAAGTACGGAAGGTTCTGTTGTGGATTCTTTAGGAGCTGGGAGTGATTTGGTGAGCATATTACACATTTTCCTCACGATTTATATATTCTCACAAACACTGGCTATAATGTTTTCTATGAGACATTTCTGGCAGCTAATTTAAACATTCAGATTATTATTTTTTTCATTCAGCTTGGGCTAGCTATTAAAAATCAACTCATTGGGGTAGATTAAGGACATTTTTACAACATGTAGCATTTGTAGTTACTTGCTGCCTTATAGAAACTTGTAGATTTTGCTACTAGTGCCAGTTCTGCTCAGACCTGATTCTGCGTTTGGTACAAAGCAGATTCATTTTTTTCTCTAACCTTTTCTTCCTGTGGAAATGAGCTGTAAAGTGTGTAATAAAGAGACATTTGGTCAACATGGTAGAATTAAAGCTAGAGCACACCGAATAAATAATTTTGAGCTGTGAGTGTTCTTGCTAATGTGCCTATGTTATAATTTCCTGTTGTATTGAAATGGAAAACAAAACTTTTTTTTAACAAAATCTATCTACTGCTATATTGTAACTTACAACGAATAAGCAAATGTTTTACAAAATCTTAACTTAATATGCCAAATGTAAATTATGCAATTTTTCATTACATAAGAGCCCTTTATAAAATACTACTCTTGCATTAGTAAGAATAGCAGTTTATTCCACAGTGCATATGTTTTCCTAAGATCTTACAAAAAATCTGCTTGGACATTAAGAGTACTTTACATTTGATATAAGAATTTGTAAGAATAAAAGTGACTCACTGGTGTACGTTAGAGGTTTGCAAAGGATTTTGCTGTTTTGTAATCTTTTTACAATTGAATGAAAGACCTAAGGCTTTCAGTTTATTATTGTGGTAAATGTCTTACACAACATCTCAAATTAAAGATTGTGACCATTCACAAATGGATGTTTGGAATTTGAATAGGATTGTTGTGTTCCCTCACTCCCACATAATGACACACTTCAATTATCATCATTTTTCTCAAAACATTTTTAACTAAAATGCTTTTTTCTGGCCATATTGTAAAACCATTTTTACTACTTGCATCCACTATCTTTTGGAATGTGCAAGATATTCCCTCTTAATTATGGGGCAGGTGAGAGTAGTTTGGGATAATGTAATTGTATAAAAATTATTTACCAAGATACTGTGCCTGATATTAACATGTAATATGAGAACATTTCTGCATGTAGCAGTAATTTGAAACCAGCACAAATATCTTGACAATTTTACTTTTTGTAAAGATTGAGTGGGGGAGTGAAAATGGACTGCGTAATAACAAAGACCTAGACTGTCGAAGAAAAATCCACTTTACACCAAAGTAGTTATATTTGTGTGTATACTGTGTTTATGCATATGTGCACTACCCTTGTGCACTATGCTCAAAGTTACATTACATAATATATCCAGATCAAGAATTGCGTGTGTCCAAATTAGCTTTTTGAGGCATTTAGTGTGTGTGTGTATTTAAAAAAAACAAAAAAAATCCTCAAATTTTGAATGTTGCCTTTAATTGCAATTCATAGTTAGGTGTTTGGAAACAAATGTTGTCTGATGTTCGTTCACCTTTCCAAAATGTTAGCTATCTTTGATGTTTTGTGTTGGCATGATCTAATTTGTGGTGAACAAAACTTATGATGTATTGAACATAGGCTACATTTTTTGAAAAACTGTTCTTTTCCAGTATAGTGTTAAAATTCTTTGTACATACAGAATCATCTTTCATGTATTTCATCTACTTTTCTAGAAAACAGTTTATTAAAAAGCAGTGTTTTTTCTGTAAACTGTTTTGAGATACAGCAACATTTTTTTTTAATACTTGCAGCCTATACTAAACTGTTTTTAATGTCATTTAGTCTGTTTTTTTAAAAAAGATGTATACATTTGACACTTGTCTATTAATTGAATTTCAAACTTATTTTTTAGAAAGTACTTTTTTTAAAAAAATAAGAAGTACACTGTTAGAATATCGACTGTGATTCATAGGAATGTTTTTGTTTTAAATTCAAACTTGGTTATTTTTAAAGCTTGTTTCTTATATTTCCATGTACCACAATCTTTGTTACCTGTACTCTTTAAGTAAAATGTATTTGAATAGATAATATATTGCAATAAATTGCCATGGCAAATTATTTATGTTTTAGGTTTATTGATATGGTATTTCACGTGAAATGTCTCGCGTCCACTTAAAGTGAGAAGACTTTTTATAATTTGATACTGCCCGATCCTGACTCCAGTTCTCCCACACGCAGTGCTGAGATTCAGCACTGGACTGGTTGATGTTTTCGAGGAGGAAAAGTAACGCTTGCGCTACGAAATGCGCAATATTTGAAGCTGTATTTAGCGCAGAATTTGTAAACAATTCTGCACTCAATGCAGCTGAGCAGCAGCAGCGGTAAAGGGGAAGAGTGGGCAATCATCTGTGTCGATTTTACTCTTAGTCTGATGATGATGATGGTGGTGGTGATGGGGATGGGGGGTGTAAGGCTTCCCGGGTTTGGTTGGTCTCAGCCCAGGACACCGGTTTGAAAAGCCCGCGCTCTCCCAGTATAGCAGGAGATCGGAGCCCATGTCAGGCGCGGTCGGACCGTCCCCCCCCTCTCTCCGCAGCTGTTCTCACGCGGTTGTTATTGGTTGGAGCCGCGTCGCTCCGCCGTCGGCTCTCTTTAAATCGGGAGCCGGACGGGGGCTCTGGTGACTGCGGCGGCGGGTGGTCACAGAGGAAGGGTCGGGGACATGGCTGCGAGACTGCTGCTCCGCGCCGCGCGTCACGGCCTGAGCCGCCTCGCAGGACGCGGTGCTTCCCGGAGCAGCGTCAGGACCGTGGTGTCCGGAGGTAAAGCCTCTTAACGCGGGCTCTGCACCGACGGGCATTTCGAGCCCCAGGAGAGGGAGTGCGGGAGGGAGGGAGGGAGGGAGTGCGGGGCGATGTGACCTGTGCACCCACCGGTCACTGGCACAGTCTCCCGTCGCCGGCACCACGCGAAGCCCACGTATTTAACGCAACGCGCGGTTGCAGGTCGGCGTCGGTAATTAAACGCCCCAGTCTTGCCATCGTGCCGACGGTCCTTTTCGACCGACTCGTCCCTGAGGTCACGGGCCTCCCTCCCCACAAGGCCGAAAGTCAAATGTGTTTACTCCGCCTCTTTGGGCAGCGTCGCCCCCCGTGTGTGTGTGTGTGTGTGTGTATGTGTGATGTGTGCCGAGGCTGGAGGCGCATTGCGCACCCACGGGGAGGAATGCACTGCTGTGCTGTGCTGTCCCGTCACTCCTGTCTGATTGATTCCCCATCTGACAGCTCCGTTGGTAGTGATCAGGTTTCTGAGATTTCTTTGCTAAGAATCTGTCCGGAGCAATCGCTGGTAGAAGGGACTTTGCGTTACGTGCGCATTGCACCAGACAGCGGTAACCCCGAGTTCATCTCGATTTACAAACTGCCCAATATCAGACTCCGCGCGTAATGATGTTATGCAGAATTTCATCAGATGTACTTTTTTTCATGCACTTCCCATAGGAGTCACCAGAGCAAACGGGAACAGTAGCCCGATTCGGTTTCACCTCGAGAATGGCTCAGTTGGCAGCACTCTTGCTCTCCAGTCAGAAGGATGTGGGTTCAAGCCTCACATCTAGACTTTGAACACACTGATACTCCAATCCAGTGCTGGGGGAGCACCACGTTGTTGCAAGTGTCATCCTTCGAATTAGACTTTGTCTTTGCTAGAAATAGAGGAGTGGTACAAGGTCACTCTTCCCCCTATAGTAAAACTATTGCTTTTAAAAATAATTATTTGTAAGTGATTTTTACTATATGTGGTATAATTCTGTACCCAAGTGTGTGTGGGTGTGTGTGTGTGCAGGTCAATTATAGATCTGTTCAGGTAGTAGCTATGAAGATGTGCTGCAACAGTGCTGTATTGTTAATAACTCTCCGTCTTCACATTAGGTGTTCCAACGGATGAAGAACAGGCTACAGGACTAGAGCGTAGAACGCTACAAGCTTTGAAGAAAGGACAGGTATCTATAATCTGCAATTTGAAATTTGTGTTCCTGTTTCCGAATGTTTAGTAATGTTTCAATTAGATTTATTATTGCGTGACCACATACTTTTTAATTTCAATTTGAAAATTGATTTTGTAAAACCAAACTCCTTTGATTTACATATTTATTCATTCATTTTAAAGATCTGTGCTTTGTTCCACGTTATTTCTTTGATGTTGTAGATTTGATTTCCATGCAATTTTCCATCTTGCAAATCCAAATTTATTTTCATAGGATCCATACAGTATCTTGAAGCCTAAAGAATATGCAGGCACCGAGGAGGATCCTCACATTGTGCCTTCAACAATCGATAAGAGGCTGGTTGGTTGTCTTTGTAAGTAATGCACTTTATTACTTTTATATGGTCGGTCTGTTTTCAATTGTCTAGATTACACTCATCACTGCGATAAATGGCTAAAAATGTACATTTAAAATGTAATTGGAATTTAACAAACAATATTTCTCCTTGCAGGTGAGGAAGATAACACTGCAATTGTCTGGTTCTGGCTACATTCTGGAACACCTCACCGCTGCCCATCCTGTGGATCGCATTACAAACTTCAACATCATGAGCTGCCTCATTAGCGTATAACAGGACAGATCATTTTAGCAATCAACAAGATCTTTCAGCCATAATTGCCTTAATAGTTTAAATATGAGGTTCATCATATGTTCTTGCTGAAAGCCAAATGGAAAAAATTGTGCACTTCATTAAATAAAAGCCTTTAGATATTTGCATATCCTTCATTATAAAGCAATTATTCCTAATTATAGGTTGGTGGAGGGGAACTTTTATCAGTCTATAAAATGATAAATGGCTTAAAATGTAACTTTAAACTAAGCCAAACAAGACCTGGGAACATACATAAGTTGGTGAAAGCTTTTTATTGAAATGGAAAATACTGGTGGATTTTTTTTCTTCTAAACCAGAGACCAAGGCAAATTTTGACATCCCAACTACTATTATCCTGTCTGAATTCAAGTCTAGAAATCAAACCTGGGATCTTCCAGGGCTATATACTTCTGTTGTACACTATGTTATGTATTTAACTGCATCACCAAGGGAGGTACACGATTTCAATAATTAAATTTGCAACATACAAGTGTGATTCTAAGTAATCTTTAACAAACAGAGAGAGCTGGGAAAACTCAGCAGGTCAGGCAGCATCTATGGAGAAAGTGAGTCAACGTTGCGGGTCCACGACCCTTCGTCAGAACTGGGGCATGTTGGGAGGGAGAGGTTTTTAAAGACAAAGGAATGTGTTAGTTGACAGGTTAAAAAGGTAATTGTGGCGTAAAACAAAAGGGGTGGGTTGAAACAAAAGAAGAGGTGTTAATAGAGCAGAACAGGCAATACACCAGAGAGACAACAGAAGATAACTCTTCTGGTAACAGAAAGAGGGGGGAAGGTGAGCTGTTAATAGTGTGAAGTGGCTGAAATCGATATTGAGGCCAGACGGTTGTAGGGTCCCTAGCAGATAGATAAGATGCTGCTCCCTAAGGTTTTGCTGTAGATCATTGGAACAGCGTAGACCATGGATGGAGAAGTCAGACTGAACGGGAGTTTACCTTGCATACAGAACGGAGGTGTTCTACAAATTGGTCACCCAATCTGTGCTTAATCTCCCCAATATAGAGACCACACAGTGAGCAGTGGATACACTATACTACATTGGTGGTAGTACATGTAAACTGCTCTTACATGGAAGACACGTAATTGTGTTTTGTCTAAGTAATCTTTCACCTATGCAAAATGGTGTAGGCACTTGTTAACTGCTGCTGAACATTGGCTTCTGATACAGATGGCAAATATACAACCGAAGATATGGTAGTGAATTTCACAAGGTTTCCCATAGTTGAATAATCACATAAAATTGATATGTGCTGTGAGAAGGAACACTGAAAATGTGAACGTAAGTCAACACAGTGGCTGAGTGTAGTGTGGTCCATTTATTGCCTATGCTCTTGATCATTCACTGGTGTGTATATTGGACAAGACACAAATGATGGCATAGGAATTGATCATCTGGAGAAGACGGGACAGAAATGCATTATGACAACCTGCTGTCTGATTCAATTAAAAGTTTTTTTTTTCTTGGACACAATGTCCAACTTTTCATATCCAATTCAAAAACTCGCCACTTTGGACACAAAAACATCACATCTCCTTTATTCAGATTGACTTTACAAAGTTATCTGCTAAAGTAACAGATGACACCACATATCAAATCTATTAAACTGGGATTGAGAATTCAAGTGTAAACACACAATTTTGTAGTTACTGCAGTATACAATATACCACTAGGCACTTTAAAGAAATCAGCATTCATGTGATATTGTAGTGGTTGTGGTTCAAGTTATTAGAAATTAAGACCCTGTGTCCCTGTTGATTAAAATCAGTTTGAAGCCCAGTTACTTGATACATCTCATGCTTTTGACTGAAGAGGCATAATTTACTCCTGTGTTAAGTTTAGCAGGAAGCTCACTTCATTAATTTATATAAAAGTGAAACTCTAATAAGGCTATGTATACCACAACTGTACACACCCGTTTTATTGGATTTTGTACACAATCTGCTTAGTTTTCATCTAAATTTAAATGGAAATATTTTCATGCTTCTAAATGCACAATTCTTTCAAATTTAGCAATATATTTTCATATCTATATCAGAAGAAGCTGTAGTATGTAAAGGCTCATTACTTTTTTTGCCACATTTCTACTAAAATATCACACCACAAAAACAGCATACAAGATTTGACACAGAATTAATGAATTAAATCTTAAAGGGATATTAAACTATCATTCCTGAAATGAAATCTTCAATACAAGATTGTGATATACTAGAGATTTCATTTTAGCCTATTTAATAACTTTCTAAATTTACAGAAAAAAATAGGTTAATTTCAGATCAGCATACATCCTATTAGCAAAGCGATAAATTCATTTGGTAATCATTTTATTTTCAAGATCTACAAGGCATTGAAAGAATGAGCAGCATAATTAGTATATGCCAGAAAAGGTCTGATCCATGCCAGCAACATAGTCATTCAAAAGAAAAACTTAAGACACTGGAATTCTGACTTAAATACTTGAATCCCCCATCTTCTATCAGATCAATGTAATAGCAAATAACCACCCTAAAATACTTTAATACTGTAGTGTTATCACTTTTCTCATTGATTGCAACCAACAAACACATTTTGGGCCAAATTACTGTGGAAAATTTAACACTGCTTCCTTCAGTCACTTAAAATGAAAAAAGGGTATTTTAAAATCCAAATTCACAATAAGAAGAATAGAAGCAGAATGGAAACAACTTTAGGGTTTCTATAACCGAACTATCTGTTGCTGTTGATTCCACTGTCTAAGACTTATGTAATACTAATCTTGGCATTTATGTCCGAAATTCAATTACAGAATTCTTTACAACAAAATCAATGCAACTGGTTTATTTGTCCCCCAAATATTTTTGAAGGATAGAAGTGAGAAACAGAAATGGATTGTATACTTGTAATTCTCCTTGTTTGTTTTGCAGAATTTTTTTAAGAATGAACTAGGAATTCAGAAATAAAACTGGAAATACCAGCTGGTTTTGCATATATTGTGATGTGCAGTTTAACTGCTGTCACATGAATATCATCTCAATGAGATTTTTCTAAATAGCAAAACTTCAGTTTATTACAAAAATCATGAAACACTATTTACAGAAAATCTCATGTAATTATACAAGTACAGTATCATTTTACATAAAACGTCTAGATTATCCTCAGCCAATTAATGAAAATGTGAAGCATTTACCATGCAGCTGTTCACTTGTCCTTTTTGCAACATAAACATTTCCACTTTGCATCTGCAAGAAAATGTATTAGTGCTTCCTCTGAATTTCTTTCTATAAGATCTGGGTCCTCACCATTTCAAATGTTATTTTAATATAGCACTAATAGTATACATGATCCTATACAAATAGCTAAACTTAATATTTTGTTGGTCTTACTGTATTTTGTTGTTTAAGTATAGTAAGATATGTCATTTTCAAGGAATGTTGTCTTACATCAAACCCAATAAGTAGGATTTGGGGGATTTCAGAGTTGTTTTTACACCAAACTAAAGCCTTCATAATGGTCTATGGCTTGAATCAGTTTGTTTTGAAGGAGTTCTTGATCTGTGTATTTTGGTAGATCTAGAAGATTAAAGCAGGTGTGAGCTACTGGAAGATAATCATTTCCACCTCCAGTTGGCTGAATGACAATTTTTAGGCTCTTCATTCCAAGAATTGGGATACGATCACTGCCAGTCAGAAACACTGTAAAAATAATTTTTGAAAAATCATCCTGATTCCTGTTTGTATTCTGTGAAAAGGAAGTAATTTATGCAAAATGTATGACAACTAAGTGCTCCTTTAAGTTACCTACACCCTTTAGAAATGCTACTTACACAGAAATTGTTTCTTCTTTTCCAAGCTCAATTCATGGAACACTGCCCAAAAGAATTTAATAGTAGGATGATCTGCCCCATACTCTCCTTTGTATTCTGTGTTCTGTATGAAAACAAAATATTTTGCTTGAAAAATTAAGTCTGTAATGTATTAAATCTAACATATTTGTAAGATTATCAAAGATGAGTACACAAAGACTGGAAAAACAACAACTTGCATTTATATAGCACCCTTGACAACGGGTGGAGTCTTGACAACGAGCCAAGGGGAGAGGGTGACTGTAAGCATGATCAAAAAGGAAGGTTTTTAGGCAGGATTTTAAGGTGGGGAGGGAGGGGACAAGTCAGAGGGATCGGGGACAGAGTTTCAGGGCATAGTGGGCTGAAGGCTCTACCGATGGTGGAATAGAGGGCATAAGGTACTAAGCTGGATCTTGCAGAACAGCTCCAAACAAAAGGCTGAATCAATATAAGGAAGAATATCAGCAGTATTGATATACTTCTCAAATGCAGATTAAGGCACACTATTGGCACAGCATTCAGACAGCATTATTTTGCATGTGGCTCATGCTGTGTGCTACTCTGATACTATAATAATAATCCTTGCATTTAATATAGCGTTTTCACGTCTTCTAGACGTCCCAAAGCGCTTGACAGAATATACTGTAAAGTGAATTGACTGTATATTTGTGGGCGAACACGGCAGCCAATTGCGCACAGCAGTGTCCCATAAACAGTCATGGATTGAAAATGACCAATTTATTATTGTTTTTGTTTATACTATACTAGGTATAAATAGCTTAAAAAGTTACATTCTTCAGTAGTGACATCAGTCGCAGGAATCACATTTATTAGAAAATACAAAAACAATTCTTGAAAGTACCACTAACCTTTTCTAATTCTTTCCAGTCATAATTTGCATTTCCAATCACCATTGCTTGCAATTCATTGGGCTGGAAGAGCTGGAGTACCTTCCCTCCACAAACCTTGTGAAAGCCTTCAAAGAAAGCATCAAATAATGGTGCAACTGACTTGTTGAACACATAGTCTACATATGCTTCCACAAATTCATGCCTGTGGAGAAAAATATATCACAAAGTAATAACTTATTAAGATACTGCAGTTGTAAGAGACTGAATGTGAACATACAGAAACAGAAAAGCTGTTCATTTTGGAATTAAAAATGTTTTAAAGAACTTGCTTGGAGAGCTTTTATACAATGAAACTCACATCAATCGGGACCATAACATTCAGTATGACTTAGCAAAGTCCAAGTTGCAGGCAAACTGTATAAGTCGTATAAAATCCAAGGTGATTAATACAAGCAATGTAAAGAAATCTAAGTGTTTTTGATAAGAAACTGAATGGGACTCGGGTGAATGTACGATTTAGGCGATTATAAAGATAACACTTATGTGAGTTTTACTGTAGTATGAACTTTAGGGATAAAATGGCTTAGTCTAAATCCATTTATGTAATACTATAATAAACAAGCATTTTGATTAGTGTACAAATTTTATATTTTGAATATTTATCTATAATATAGCCATCAATATGCCACATGACACCCGAATAAATACTTTTTACAAGATATCAAAACCATTTCTTACTATGATACATCACTGCAGTTTAATTTAAGTCTAGCATCTCCTCACCTGTTTTCATTAGTAACAGAAGTATTTGTGCCATTAGGAATCAGCTCTTTAATTTGTGTTACACCATACTTCTCCTCAGTAATCTGTTCAAATACAATGTTAACTAATTAAAAAAAACTTTCCAAAATGTGGATGTCAGTTTGTATTCCTTTTACTAATCTCACTCTGATAATTTACCGTGAAGTTCAGAAAGAAGATATCTTTCACATTGTCTTCTGGATAATCCAGCAGTTGCTGCAAACTCCTGCATTAAAGTAAATACAAAGCAAAAATGTAAAGCTAACCGGAAAATAACAGAATTTGTTAGTAAAACTGAACACATCATTGTTATACATGAAACTGCTACACCAGGTGGCCGACTAGCAAGCACTGCTTTCACAAATCCTAGCTTGCATCTTATTTTAAATTCAAGGCCTGCCTTACATAACATTAATTCAATAATCCTTGCATTTGATTTTGCATCATATCACATTGTAGAGACAATGCAAAGCATTTCACAGAATTTTAATTTGAAATGTAGTTGTAGGAAAAAGCAGCAGCAAATTTGCACAAACAATGACTCACAAACAGCCACAAAATGACAAATTTTATCTGGGGATTATTGGCCCACTTTCTCATTTTGAGTAGTGACATGGGATCTTCAACATCCACCTGAACAGGTAGAAAGAACTTCGCTTTAACATCTCATCTGAAGGTGACACCTGCAACAATGCTGCACTTCCCTAGCACTGCAATATGCAAGTTCCAAATCTCGGGCTTGAACCCACAACCAACTGAGTCAGAATAACAACAACAACTTACACTTGTTCTGTGGAATATAAAGCATTAACATGTAGAATACAGAATATCTTCACATAGAAGAAACATGTTAAAATGCTTGAAACTAGATTGAGCTATCTATCTTTTTGCAATTGTATACATTTTGCTCCAAATGCCTATAAGACACTATACAATGCCTGAGGAATATATTTCTGGAAGACTAGATTGTTTATGTGAGGTAAAACTACTTAAACATTACTTCAGTGATGTGCTAATACAATTATTAACCAGAAAATCATTAATATTTAATAAGTCCAAAGTGTGACTACAAATTTACAGCTAAATGATTTACTCTGAACCAACTGATTTGATAAACTGGTTTTGGAGTTGTCTTCTTTGGAGACCACCATCTATTTAGTGAAGAATGTTGCCTTTGCAATTCCAACATTTTACAATATGCCAAGGAAGATCTGGTGATGTACTTGTGGGGCCAATGTTAGAAGGACCTTGAGTTCAAAGTTGTCACATTAACTAACCTCCCAACATCTGGTATCAACTCCTTCAGATCATCCAAGGTTGTCTTATATTTTAATAGTTTTTTGTACAAAGCTAATGGAAAAGGCAAATCAACAATTGTAAAATTGTAGATTGCAAGACCGCAGACGATTCCAATCAAATGAAACAAGTCATTGTCTTCAAAGGTCTACACAAGACAAAAACAAAATAATATTCATTATAAAGCTCATTTTTCTCTGCAAATGTTTTACAGAATGCATACAAAGACATTCCAGAGTTCAGTGATGGATTCATACAACTTCACAATGCAAATGAATACTTTGTAGTCTCTGCTAACAATGCTGCTAGCAGCCTGACCTCAAAGATTGAAAATAATTAAGATTATATTTTCAGGCTTTATTTATAAAGTTTGATATTTACAGAATGACAATATTATTACAAGAGGTTAGTCAAAGAGAAAATTAACATCTTAAAGAGAGTTGAAAATGAAGATAAATGGGAGATGTACATATGAAATAAGTAATTTGGAGATTATTATTTGAAAAACAGGTAGGACACTGAGTACTTCATTTATTATGTTCATAGAAAGGCAGAATAAACAGATTAAGTAAACATTGGTGGTTTTGCCATCAAGTCAGTGACATTACAATTGCAACAGGGGAAATAAACTGCTTAGAGATACTTACCAACATTTACTTGAGGCATTTACATGAAGCACATTATACCATGATTTCAATTATCAAAAATATAATTTTAAGTAATAACAGTGTAGTGTTAAAAGTCACAACATTCAAGGTCCACTGAACTAATTCAACAGTTAAATACAAATACCAGATATGAACAGAGATTGCAGGTGAAATTCATTTAAAAATATAGCTGAGTGGATGAATAGTAATGTCATACCTGAAATGAAAACCAGATGAGTCTTGATTCCTCATAGTACTGAAACATGCCATATTTAGGATCTAATAATTCCCTCATAATCAAGAGAAAAAACTCTTTCCGGACACCCCCAGCATCTATGGCTTCTTCACCAACAAAAATTACCTAAAAACATGAAGAAATATCATTGATTATAAGGTTGATACAATATTAATGAAAATACTGTAACCCTTAAATTGCCAGGGTCAACAAAACTCACTACTAAACCCAGAGGATCAGGTTAAAATCAGGAAGCCCTGGATTTGCAGTGTCAGTCAACACTATCGTACATAGCTAAAACTACCTTCAATGGCTTCTTATAGTCCACATTCTTCGACTTCCTCAATGCTTCCACAGCATCTTCAACAATATGCTCTCTACGTACAATTAGTACAAGGCAAGGATTGACTGCATCAACCACAGGCAAGAAAAAGGATGAGAAATTTTGCCTGTTAGCCTGATCAACTGCAATCTGGAAAGAAAAAAATAACGGCACACATATGTAGATTATTGCTCATTTTGGTAAATGAGAACTATCAGATGTTGGCTTCATAACATTCAGTTTGAGAACTTTTCCTCCCTCCCCTTTGTTGGTGATTCTATACGGTAGTTGCGAAATTGAACAAAAAAGTTTAAAAATTAAGAATCTTTTTCATGATTGAACACATAATACGTTTCACAAGTGGCATAATTTACAAAGAGTATGGGGAAACAGCAGAGAAATAGGAAAGAGGTATACAACTCATAAAGAGAAGATAACCCCAGCAAATACTCCATAGACCGAACGCCTTCTTCTGTGCTGTAATTGCTGATTCTATTTTAGACAAATAACTTGAAATCTATAGTTTGTAGCATCACATTTTTCATGATATTAAAGTCTGTTTGCAGCAGAATACATTGTTCTTATAATTGTTTCTACAAATCTTCATTATTCCTGGACGAGAGACAACTTTCTTCAGCTCAACGTGCGTAAAACTGAGGCCATCCTGATTGGCTCGCGTCAGTGCTTCCACACCTCAGGCCTCCGCACCTCAGGCGCTGACAGCATCAGCATCCAAGGCTGCACTCTCCACCTCTCAAAGCCAGTCAGGAACCTTGGTGTTCTCTTCGACCCTGAGCTGTCCTTTCTCCCTCATATCCGCGCCACAACTGGTACCGCCTTCCATCACCTCCGGAATGTCGCCAGACTACGGCACTACCTCACCCCTCACGCTGCTGAAACTCTGGTCCACGCCTTTATCACCTCAAGGCTGGACTATGGGAACTCTCTCCTCGCCGGCCTTCCCGGCACCTCCCTCCACAACCTGCAGGTCATTCAGAACTCTGCAGCTCGTGTACTGTCCCGCACCAGGCTTCGCGACCACATCACTCCCTCCCTCGCTCGCCTCCACTGGCTCCCCATCCCCCACAGGATCGATTTCAAGATCCTCATCCTCACCTACAAGGCCATTCACGGCCTTGCTCCCTCCTACCTCTCTGACCTACTATCCCCCTACCTACCTGCCCGTACCTTCCGTTCCTCTGGCTCCGGTCTGCTCCACATCCCCCGCCCCAACCGCCCTACCATCGGTGGCCGGGCCTTCAGCCTCTCAGCCCCTCGGCTCTGGAACTCTATCCCCCAGTGCCTTCGCCTTGCCTCCTCCCTTTCCTCCTTCAAGGCCGGTCTCAAGACCTTTCTCTTTGACCGTGCCTTCAGCTCCCCTCTCGACTCTTTACCCCCTCCTCGCTCCCTCCCTTCCCTCCCCTCACCCTGACCATTTCCCCCCTGCTCGGGTCCTGACCCAACTGTACAGCGCCTTGGGACGTCCTCCCGATGTGAAAGGCGCTCTATAAATGGAATCTTGTTGTTGTTGTTGTTGTATTATGATCATTTTATTTAGAGAAAACAGACCAGTCTGTCAGTTTTTCCTCCGTCTCCCTTTTTAAGGGTACATAAGACTGTTGGTAATAATAAACAGGAAATCAACTAAGGCATGGTCTCTTTTATTTCTGAATTTTAATTTTTTTTAGATAAATTATGCCAGATAGCATCAACAAAAATGAATTTTCTCACCTGCATTTGCAACATGGCGTCTGTCTGCAGTAATGCAGTCTTTGCTTGTGCATTAAAGACAAATGGATATGTGCAAATTGTAATTGGTATATCCTGCACATGAAAAATAGATGAAGCTTACCATCACAATCTGTTGAGACAGTTCCTTGCTTAAATTTTAAATTAATTCTTACCTTAATTCTTAACATAGAACAGAATCAATTTGATTAGGTTCCAAAAATAAATTTTACCAAAACTTAAAACATTAAACACAAACGTATAATATAATAGAAACTAGAAAGACTAAATACCAAGCTCACCTCTTGTGTTCCACTGCTGAAGTCCTAAATAATTAGATAAAAAAAGCCGGAAAGTCACAGTCAAAAAGGGGGAAGAATAAATAGTGTTGTTCTTGTACTTTAAAGTCCACTTACAGAAAGAGCTTTGCTGTCAACATTATGTTTGAAGCTAATTTGTGATCATTCTTATTAAATTGTACTAAACAATGAAGTGCAAAAGATACATTTCCAATAATACAATCTTTAATAGCATTGGGCTTATGTTAGCAAATGGAAAGAGTAAGGAGTGGATGACCTGGCTGTAGATTTCTATTTAAATGATCTATTTGACTCAACATTTACCTGAAATGGTCTATTTGACTCAACATTTGCCTGGATATGGTCTATTTGACTCAACATTTACCTACGACGTTTACCTAGTTTCAAGTGATACATAGATCTTATTAAATACCTCAAAGTTTGGAAGGACTTAAACATACAGCAGAAATGTATTGAAAATGTAACTTGGCTGGAAGGCCCACATATTCCGCAAGTTCTGCAACATTTTGCAATCTTGGGAAATTGTAAGTAACACATTCCATATCGGCAATTTAACAATTTATTTAACTCAAAAGGTTTACTCACACAACTCTGCTGGGAAATCTAACATGAGATGCAGCAAAAAGTCTTCCCAAACATTAAATGTATCTCAATACATGTCTGAGGGGCTTAAAAATTGGACGTATCTTATTTTCAGCAGGAAAATACAGGATTTGAAAATGAGCTTGCAATGTCTGTTGTTTGAAGTACAGAGAAAATTAAGAAAGAGAAAAACTACCATATCTTGGAAGTGAACTGAAAAGACTCAGAAATAAGGATGGGAAGTAGCAGACTTCATTTGAGTGTAACAGGTATGAGTCATCTTTAGCATTTTTCTAGCACTTCTCCTTGCTTCAAGGTCTATTTGAAAATTGAGCATGGCATTATATGAATGCTATTGCGGAAGAGTTTGTTAAAATCCATGCGCAATGTTCTTCAAATTCCAAATTGAACAAAAAGATCATTGAGTCCTGACTAAATTTGTCCATTTAAAAATAAAAAAAATCACCTAAAGGCAGCCAATTCATACAGTGGCTAGAGGTTGAATCATGCTTCGAAATGATGTTTAGCTTTTCATATCAATAGAAATTGCCATCAATGCATGGGGGAAAATTCAACCTCTCCTCCTTCTCCCCCACCCCTCCCCCCACCAAACTTTGAAGCAATTCAGCCTGGAAGTTGCTGACAAGTCCTGTAGCTCAGTGGTTAGAGCACTCGCTTTGCAAGTGAGAGACCTGAGTTCAATTCCAGGCAGGGCGAAACCTTGGGCAAGTTTCCTTACTCCACACGCCTAATAATAATCCCTCCAAAACCAAAAACAATAATAAATTGGTCATTTTCAATCTACGACTGTTTGTGGGACATTGCTGTGCGCAATTGGCTGCCGCGTTCGCCCACAAATATACAGTCAATTCACTTTACAGTGTGTTCTGTGAAGCGCTTTGGGACGTCCTCCCGACGTGAAAAGCGCTATATCAAATGCAAGGATTATTATTATTATTATTAATACTGTCTTTGTCATGAAGTAAGAATTACCATTTGTACAGCTCAAAATTGCCTTCAGAATTCTGGACTTAGTTGCTCTAATTGTACTTAAAGAATTACAGTGATGTTTAACTATATTCCTTTTTGTTATGAGCCTATGTCTCAAGATGGGCAGATTTACAAAGAATCTTGGATTTTCAGCAGCCGGCCTCTTAGCCAGACCTACGTTCCATCGATTTTAATGGAATAATGAAATATTTTCAAAATCTTTTATTTCAGTTTTAAAAGGAGATTCCAGATTACTGTAAATTCATTACTGCAAATCTACAAATTTATACTTGAATGGAGTGTAGGCCATTTAAGAATATGGTGCATAATAGAAATTCAACAGCTGTAGAACAAACCATTTAGTAAATAGCTTAGTTTTCAGAATTTAGAAGGCATTTACTTACCATCCTAAATGCATGATGCTGAATCCATGTAATATAATCGTTCCTGATATCAATCAAGTCTTGTAATTCATGAATGTAGAATTTGGCATAATGAATTATTTGTCCAGCTGTCTCATTTACCTGTGTAATGAAATTCCATAATTAGTTTTTGTTTTAATTCTAATTTCTGATAGCTATGATTTGAGATGAGTAAGTATGCAATAATAAACTAACATAACATGTAGGAGCAGGAATAGGCCATTCGCCCTTCGAGCCTGCCCCGCCATTCAATCATGACTGATCTTCTAATCTAACTCCAGCTAATAACCTAACCCTGCCTTATCCCCATATCTCTTAATCCTTTTTGCAATAAGAAATCTATCAATCTCAGTCTTGAATATGTTCCAAAGACTGAATGTCAACAGCCCTTTGGGGTAGCGAGTTCCATACATTCACCACCCTTTGAGAGAAGACGTTCTTCCTCAACTCAGTGCGAAAGGGTTGGCCCCTGATTTTAAGGTTGTGACCCCCGGTTTTAGTTTCTTCAACCAGGGGAAACAATCTCCCACTATCTACTCTATTACAATTAAACTAGAATTGAGAGCAAGAAATAAAAATGACAAAATTTACACAACAACAAGATTATATTTGTATAGCGCCTTTCACATCGGGGGGACGTCCCAAGGCACTGGACAGCGTACAGCATTTCAGACCTGAGCTGGAGTCGGGGTGGGGGGGAAGGGGATGGCATGGTTGAAGAGGAGGGTCTTGAGGTGGGACTTGAAGGAGGCTAAGGAGGGGGCAAGGGGGAATGATTGGGGGTTGGAATTCCAGAGGTTGGGGGCAGAGTGGCTGAAGGCTCTCCCGCCAATGGCTGAGTGGAGGGAGTTGGCGGGTTGGTAGGGGGTTAGGAGGTCGCAGAGGTAGGGTGGGGCGAGGCCATGGAGGGCTTTGTAGGTGAGGACCAGGATCTTGAACTGGATCCTCTGAAGGATAGGGAGCCAGTGGAGTCGGGTGAGAATGGGGGAGATGGGGTCACTGAGTTTGGTGCAGGAGAGGACACGGGCTGCAGAGTTCTGGATTATCTGCAGCCTGTGGAGGGAGGAGTTGGGAAGGTCGACAAGCAGGGTATTTGCATAGTCGAGCCATGAGGTAATGAAGGCATGAACAAGAGTTTCAGCGGCCTGAGGGGTGAGGTAGTGGCAGAGTTGGGCGATGTTAGAGGTGATTGAAGGCAGAGCGTGTCATGGCTTGGATGTGGGGAAGAAAACACAGTTGAGGGTCAAACAAGACACCTAGGTTCCTGACTGGCTGGTGAGTTGAAGTGTGCAACCATGGAGGTTGATGCTGCCAGAGCCTGAGGTGCAGAGGCGCTGGCGTGAGCCAATCAGGAGGGCCTAAGTCTTGTTCAATTTCAACTGTAGAAAATTTGTCCTCATCCAGGACTTAATGTCCGACAGGCAATCTGTCAGGACAGCAGTGGTCCTGGAGTTGAGGGTGGAGGCAGAAAGATAGAGTTGGGTGTCATCCGCATACATATGGAAGTTGACCGCAGACGTGACACTGTGGGGGCTGGAGGCGAAACCGTTGGAAGCAACAAAGTGGAGATGGTGAGAGAGATAGGAATCGAACTCGGCAAGGGCGGGTCCGCGAAGATAAAGAGGAGACGCAGTGTATGAGGATGGAGTGGTCGACAGTGTCGAAGGCGGCAGAGAGGTCGAGGATCAGGAGGCAGAGGGAGTCCTGATCACAGATGTTCAGAATGTCATTAGTGACTTTCACCAGGGCAGTTTCCGTCCTATGGGCAGCGCGAAAGCCGGATTGGAGGGATTCAGAGGGAATGGCGAGAAAGAAAGGAGCGGAGCTGGGACGCACATAAAGTTCCTATACCACTTTTGCTGTAGACTCACTCTGTGCAGAATCTCCAGAATTTTCAGTGCCGTTTGTAGATAGATGAAGTAGTCCCTCCTTTCAGAAATAGTCATCATAGACATTGCACGTTGCAGAAGAGATACTACTATTTCCTTGTACAGTTGTACAACCTTCTGAAAGAACGCAGGTTCAAGTGTGGACCACCAGTTTTCTAAGGTGAATGATTGGAATGCATAAACAAGTTTGTGATAGTATCAGCTTACTTTCGATTAATATTTTGCGAATCAATAATAGTTTAAGTTCAAGTCCAAGTATATCCTGTGAAGCGCTTTGAGACATCGCAAAGTTGTAATAAAACGCTATATCAAATGCAAGGATTATTATTATCATCACAGTTTAGATTTGAAAGCTTTTTGGGAGATATGTAACAGTGGAAAAAAGAACCAAATTCACACAACATGAGCTTCAGAATGAAATTGTCTCAACTTTTGCTTTGAGTGATTAGAATAATGACTAGCACCGTTGATATTTAGCATATTTGAAATGAATTATTTCTGTACAAATGCAGCACAATTAATATTTTGACATATTTTGGTATCCAGACAAGTGCCTGTAACTAATAGAAAGTCATCTAAGCAAGAAGTTGATCTATATTTTCCCACAATTGTTGAAAATCGGTGTCGGATACCTAGACTTTTAAATAAAGATCAACTACATTTCTACATCAAATATCCAAATTATTTTCAATCAATCCAGTCATATTAGTAACATTTGTCATCTAAAAAAAAATTTACCAAGTACTTTCAGTGGTGTTTTTTCAAGCCTCAAAATCGATGCTGCAAATGGAATTGCTAATGTTACATAGTTGTTGGGATCGCTCAGCAGAGGACATTCTGTAAGAGTAATATAGACCCTCATGGCCTCTATATCAGGAGGGGATTTGGGAAACCTTGGGATCAAATTTTTTTCCATACTGGCTGCCACCTGGAAGAAAAAAACAGTTAAGTTATTAGATGATAAAGTGATATTTATTAGACTTACAGTTAAAAGACAGGTTAGATCAGCCTACGTGCTCTAATCTACTGTTGCAGTTTTCCAACATACACACTCATATTTTTGTAATACCTGTTGAGAAATCTGAGGATGGTCAGATTGTATGAGTTTGTGGAATAATAGTCTACTTGTATTCATATTAATCCCAGAGTACTTGTGACTGGTTTTATAATGATCATCATTGCTGAAACAAAAATGCAATGCATTAGTTCCCAAATTTGATTTGTATAAAAACAACTTGCGTGTACATAATTCAATTCATGCAGGGTAGCATCTTGGAACGCTTAACAATGGTGGAGCTGAACGCTGAGCCGGGGGAAGTGACTGTAGGCAGGGTCAAAGAGGAGGGTCTTCATGCGTGATCTGAAGACAAGCAAGGAGGAATTGAGGCAGTTAGTTCAATAGTTTCAGGGCACAGTGGCTGAAAATATGATCGGCGAAGGCAGTGGGTAGTGGAGTGAGGTGTAAGCAGGTCAGAGAGGAAAGGAGGTGCCAGGCCATGAAGTGATTTGTACACGAGTTTGTACATGAGGATCTTGAAATCGAAATCCCCATTCAACATAAGGTTCTGCCCACAAAATATACAGTCAATTCACGTTATGTACTGTGAAGCACTTTGAGACTTTTCAATAACATGGTAAGGTGCAATATCAAATGCAAGGGACCGAAGACCAATATTACATAATCCTTTGAGAAAAATATAAGTACATAATAATTATTTCAAGGACTGAAAATGTGGTCATTTTCAACGTACACACTCTTTAACAACCGTTTGGGACTGAACACCTCTTAAGCCTCTGACCTAACCATTCTGAAGAATGGTTCTTCTTCCACGCTGATGAAATTTAAACGTGTCAGCAATGTCAGTAGTGACCTACAGTTGTACACAAGAAAAACATACTGTACCTCCTGGCAAGGAAGCTTCCATTCAAGCAGCCTGCTGATGAGAACACTGTATCAATTTCACTAGGAAAAACAATAGACATTTCATTAAATAGAGATCTTTACACCTCAGGCACTGATAGCATCACCATTCAAGGATGCACACTCCACCGAGCCAGTCCTGAACCTTGGCGTCTTGTTTGACCCTCAGCTGTCATTTCTACCCCACATTCGTGCCATGACCTGCAATGCCTTCCACCTCCGCAACATCGCCCAGCTCTGCCACTGTCTCTCACCGCAGGCCACCATTGCAGGCAGGTCTTCAGTTACTCTGCCCCCATCCTCTGCCCCGCAGTCCTTCCGCCTCGCCCCCTCCCTTGCCTCCTTGAAGATCAGTCTCAAGAGCCTCCTCTACAACCGTGCCTTTGGTCACCCTCCTTCTCTCCCCTGTCGTCCATCCTACCCAATCCCAAACCTCAGCTCGGATCCGAAACACTGACTGTTCAGTGCCTTAGGATGTCCTCCCAACGTGCAAAGCGCTATACAAATTTTGTTGTTGTTATTTACATGTATTCTCATTGTACCAAAGGCAAGAAATTGCACTTCCTTATTCTTCAATTTCCAGAGGAACATTTTCTTCAAAATCTTCCTTTCAATTTCCAAATTCTTCAAAGTCTGAAGATCTACTTCTTTGACTGCTCTTTCAGTTATCTACCCACCGCCACCCAAACTCCATCCCCAGCTCAGGTGTCAAGCCAGGATCGTTATGCACCTTGGGACATCCTCCCATCATGCAAGACAGCAAGGTAAAATTACAGCTTCATTCTTGAAACTGAACACTAAACTTCAGTTTTTCTTCTGAAGGAAGCAGCATAAAACCTGAAATTTTGGGACAGAATCTGTTGGGAAATTCATATACCTGACATCAGTTTTCAAGTGGTAAAGAGAAGGGTAATTTGACAAAAAAGGAGGTACCAAAATCTTTTCAGTAGTCATGAGAAGTTCAGAAAAAGATTCTTTAGCTAATGTTTAGCAGATCCCTCCAGCACTCACATTCCTATTTTGCATGGGGTTTATGGGTATAGGGCAAGCCATGGGCAGCCATTCAGGCCACAAGCAGCAGAGGTGGTGACTATTGTGCATGCTGTGTATCAAGCTGGAAAGAGCAAGTGTAGATCAACCACAAAATACTGACCAGGACCTGGCAATCATGCTAGGCTGCAGTCTGCAGTCTCTGGAGCCACCAAGGTCGTGTGGCAGGGGCGGGGATGTGGAGGGAGGCCAGATGGCAGACCACCCTCTGCTGGCTGAGAGGAGCATTGAGCATTCCTCTACCACAGAACAGTCCAATTAATTAATAAGCTTGGTCCCTTGGCTACTGACCATTCATACTTCCCTGACACCCCATGACCTCTACAACAACAACTTGAATTTATATAGCGCTATCCACGCCGGGTGGTGTCCCAGAGCGCTTAAGAATGACAGAGCTCGATGTCGAGCTAGGGGGAGGGGGAATGTGACCATAGGAAGGTCTTCAGGTGCAACCTGAAAATGGGGAATGAGAGGGCAAGGCGAAGGAATTGAGGGAGTTCCATAGCTTTGGGGTGTAGTGGATGAAGGCACGGCCGCCAATGGTGGAGCGGAGGATTCGAGGGACAAGGAGGAGGCCGAAACCAGTAGAGCGGAGGCAGCAGGTAGTGCTATGAGGAGAGGTTGGAAAGGTAAGGGAGCCTGCCCATTGCTTACTCAATTATCTCTGAAGAAGGCCTTCCCGAAGCATTATTCATCCATCTGCAGACAATTTTATTATTTAGTGTAAAAATCCGTTTTGATGGAACAGAATTTCGGAAATCATCTGCTGGCAATGAATTCTGAAAGGGAAATTTTGTGTGAAGATAAAACACTTAAAACAAAAGCACAAAGTGAATGGACAAGTATTTACAGGTACTCCCATTGACCCACTAGATGAACCCTGTTTTACCACATTCCAGTCTGTATATAAGTGAGCACCCATGAATCTGCGAAAGAGTACAAGGCCTCCCAGTGTCACCAGCATCCAGCAACCACTGTAAAAGGGGGAAGCATTGCCTTGTCAGAGATGCCATCTTTCAAAGGAGTTCCTTAAGATCCCTCACTACTGAAAAAAGGAAGTTTTTCCTGATACCTTGGCCATCAATCCTCTGGATAAACTGTACATCTGCTGTCTGTGGGTCTCTGCTGATTGCAAATTGCCACATTTGCTTTGCAGCAAAATTCTGGGTAGTGCTTTCAAATGTTTCAACATTATAGGTACTATATCAAATGCGAGCATAATTGCTTTCAGTCTCCATACACAGAATTGATAGGAAAATATTTATGTCACCATTTAAAAAAAAAACTTAAAAGCAAAAATACCAGTGACAAGTATGTACTGGTACTTCATTGGCTCAGTACAGACAAACCCTGTTTTACCACACTCCAGTCTGTCTATAACGTATAGATATAATGTATAGATATAACCCAATGTGTAGATACTAAAAATCCCTTTTGAGAGCTCTTGTGATAAACTGCTTAACTTTACCTGCAGAGAGGTGTAATGTGCAAAACTTTGGTCACCACCAGAGTAAATGGCCTTAACACAAAAATAGTCATCATCAACATCTGTAATAAATTAAAAACATGTTGTCTGAATATATCTTCCATAAAATGTGGTTTATACTTCACACCATGACAGGTTTTAATGCCCTTAAATGGAAGATGTTAGAAACAAAATAATTCATAATCCATAATGTTACAAACAAAATTGGTTGCAATTCTATATCATTCTTAAGAAGATACAAAGATTAGGTACTTAAATATTCTGATTGAATTATAATTTTCAATAACATGCATCACTCAAGTTCCAGTCTGTTTGTTTGACAATAGAATGTATCGATTTACATTTTTAATCTTATTTGCTTAATTGAGGATTAATCAAAGGGATTCAAAGACTATTCATCAAAAAAAACCTCACTTATGCCTACAAACAAGATAAAATTCAAAATTGCCAAAAAATGCACCTACCATGAGAGGTAGATTGACACTTACCAGGAGGGGAAGAAACATTATGAACAGCCCATGCTGCTTTTACAATGGAGGGGCTTTTCCTGTTACTTGTAAACCCTGTTCCTAATTGACCATTTCCTCCGAGACCAAATGAATGCAACTTTCCAGATGATGGGACAAATGCCAATGTGTGTTGCCTAAAGAATAAGCACACATTTGCTTTTAATATCCTTGAAAATTGAAAAAATACTTATGGTTATGAACATTTCTAAATCATGTCTGAAAAAGCACAAATATTGAAAGTTATAAGGCAGAGCTCAAGAAGATGGTTATGCATAATAATGAAGTAAACAAAAAACTAAAGCATTATTTATTTTGATTAGCCAATAGGCATAAGATACAAACCTTCCACAAGCAATTTGTGTGACGACATTTCCCATCAATTCAAAGACTTTTCTTGGATTTATTTCATGGTTTGTGCTGTTATGTCCCAATTGGCCATATCCTCCAGCACCAAATGTAAACACTCCACCTTCCTTAAAATAAATTCAAATTCGAATTACAGCTACATTTATTCACCAAATGTGCTAAATGTTTAAATGCTTAATCAAAATGCAGCATTTATATCAAGACATTTTGTACTGGGACACCATACTAACATTTCATCAATCTTCCATTCAAGTTACTTTATAATAAATGGATTATACAGAATTGGATTTTTAATCATACTGACTAAAATGAGGATTAATTCAATATAATTGTGTGGATTTGATATAGGAAATGCTTGGAGTTTTATTTCATTCAAATATGAATCTCCTGTTTTGACTCACTTTCATATTCCAGGCTATTTTTAAAATGCCACCAACAAAATCCACCCAACCCCCACAAAAAAAAATGTGTCAGCCTTAGTAAGCACCAAAATTATTTTGAATAGATAAATCCTGATCAATACATTAATTTAGAACAAACTGAAGACTGAAACAAGATTCCTACACTAACCCTGCCTTTTATTAGTTCATTCAAAAAATGCTGTGAATGGTGTGGTGTGGTTTTCTTTATTGATATATTTTTCATATTTAACATTAGAAAAACTAATTTGACAATTAAAAGGCTGAGTATTTCGATTTGCCACTTGGAAAACTTCAAGCCATTGTTCAGTTGTTTGGATAAACTACAAAGAGAACATGAGTAGACCTTTAATGAGGTTGAAGATGACTTAAAGGTAACAACCTTACAGGGAGCTAATATTGTTTCCCCAGCGCAACCCAGTTGAAAAGCTGGAATCATACAGGTCAAATAGGAAAGACCATTTGCTATATTGTGTAATTTACTGAAGTAAACCCAAATCCCTTCCAACTATAAACAAATATGTAAACCTACCTTTGTAAGGGTTGCGGTGTGATCTTCACCACAGCATATATAAACAACTTTTTGAGTCCGCAAGGACTTCAGCAGGGTAGGAACATGTCTGTCTGGGATTAAAATTTAAGTGACTTTCAGAGAAAAAGAAATCATGATGAGAATAAAATATTAATCAAAATGAATTTTATGAATTTAGCAAAACTTCAAACCATAAAAATAAATTCTAATCAGATTTTCATAAAACACATATCGTACTTGGACTCCTGTTGAAGTTTTATTGCTTTGTGCTTTACAAAATATTCGGGCAAACAGTTTAACTTGTTGCCCCATTTAGTAAATTGCCATTTTTTTTAAAAAAAGTTATTTTCTTCTTCTCTTAAAACGAGTCACAATGCTTTGGACTACTAACCTTTTTCATCATTTAGGCCTAATTGCCCAAATTTGTTGCGTCCCCACCCAAAGACTGCTCCCGATAAAGTGAGTGCAAAGGTGTGTGCTCCACCTGCTGCAATCTGAATAAAAGGAACACCATTTAAAGATTGGATTTGTTGTGCCGCTGATTTGCTCGTAGTATCTGGACCTAATCCTAATTGTCCATATTTATTCTGTCCCCACGAAAAAATTTGGCTCCCTGTAAGATAAATGTATTAGTTATAATTATACTGTTATAAAAAAATATTGCAAATAGTGAACAAATAAATCCGTTTATATATTTGAGCAAAAAATTGTTTCAATAAGTTTTACTCTTCAGAACACGCTTCTTAGGTTGCACCTCACAGTCAAGAATTAAACATTTTTGCTTCTTACCATTAGATAAAGCTAGAGAATGATAGTATCCACATGCCACCTGTATTATTCGTATTTCTGACAGACTCTTTATATTCCTACAAGGATATAAATGAAAATATTTGTAAAAGACATTTAAGAAAGATAAAAAGAGATGTTGTGTAACATGCGCTGATGATTTCACCAAATTAGGGAAGTTATACCTTAATTTATTAAACTACTGTAATGAAAGAGACAGCATTTTTGTAATATGAAAATTGATCACAACATAAATTTGATCAAGGGCAACTTGAAGGAATGTTTACTAAATTCACCATATTGGTATAGGGAGGTTCAGATCACTGGAAGAAATTGAAGACTAACGAGGAATTATTGTAAAATACTAACATTAAGAATCCAAATGAATTTTAGAAGAGGTTATTTATAAGAGTTCTGCTCTGAACAAAAATAGTGAAAGAATAGGTTTATTGACAATTCTCTTAGGTTCCGTACTAACTACAATTTTCTTAAGCAGCATACAATTGTTTTGTTGTATTAACTTGGCCACAATATCTTTCAGAGATAACACATCAGACATACCAAAAAGTTGCAAATGATAAAAGAGACAAAATTGAATGATGATAATTCAAGATCCAATGGTGACGATGATCCAACTCAAAATTACCTTCAGGTTCTACAACTTTTTTGGTTAGCAAATAGTATATTGTCAATTCTTAAAACAATACTGTAGCTGCACATGTTAGAGGAACAAACCCATTCTTCCAAGAGAAATTCAAGAGCCATATAAAGATGAAGGCTGAAGTTAAAGTAGTCCTTCAGCCTCACCCCCTCCCTTGCCTCCTTCAAGACCCATAAATATACAGTCAATTCACTTTACGGTCTATTCTGTGAAGCGCTTTAAGACATCTAGAAGATGTGAAAAGCGCTATATCAAATGCAAGGATTATTATTATCTCAAGACCCTCCTCTTCGACCGTGCCTTCGGTCACCCTCCTTCCTTCTCCACCCTCCACGATCCCGACCCTCAGCTTGGGTCCGAAACCCTGATTGTCCAGTGCCTTGGGACATCCTTCCGATGTGAAAGACGCTATACAAATGTAATTTTGTTATTGTCACCCAAACCATTTTTCATTTAAGAGCATAAAAATGTAATCACACAATTTTCTGTGTTCCTATATTTCTGTTGGTCAAACCATATTCCCAACTTGTCTCTGATTTATGGTGCTTTTTATTAACTTTTAATCGCTAGCCAGTTTAAGCTATGAAAAAGATTTAAACCAAAATAGCACCACAGAAGTAAAATTGTATCAACAATTTTCTATTTACTGTTTCTAACTCACCCCCCCCCAAATACTATTTTGTTCCTCTTAAGAAAAACGTAGTTGGTACAAAAACTAAGAAAATCATCAATACAAACTGTTCTTTCACTAGGTACCATAAATATTTTTCATTTTTGCAAATCATTTAGCAGCATTTCAACAGACCAATTACCTGGGAACTCTGACACATTCTTCTGTGCTAGAAAATCCCATTTGACCATCAGTGGCAAGACCCCAAGCAAACACTTGACCTTCATCGTTTAGGGAAAGTGTATGCATCTCTCCACATGAAACAGCGATGATATTCTGAGCATCCAAAGCACTAACCTGCTCTATACAACAAAACAAAGCTATGTTAGTTAACCCCTTCCTAATACATTTTGCTACCAGACAAATTATTTCACTTCCACAGAAATTTAGTTTGGGTCAGTATGAACAGAGGTGGAGTAGTTGTGATGAACCAAACTGCCTTTTCTTGTTTTATGCTTTATGTTTAGTATATTACTTTTTTTCAATCATGCCTATCATTTATACTTTGACCCAGTGAAAACCATTCACAAGCAAGATGATTTATTGGCCAAATAATGTCATTTATTGGCCAAATAATGTCATTTATTGGCCAAATAATGTCATTTATTAGCCAAATAATGTCATTTATTGGCCAAATAATGTCGAGTGTTCAGTCTATTGGAAAGCACTTTTCACACACTGTGTCTCAATTATGTCAAATGGATAAGTTACATGAGAGGCATCTGAAAGACTCACCTGGTCTCTTTCTCCCTTTTTCATGTCCCAGTTGACCAAGATCATTACACCCACAGGTATAAACTGTCCCATCGTGAATAACAAAAACAGTATGTCTGCGACCACATCCCACATCGAGAATCCTTTTCTTTTTGAAAAACGAACAACTTCTTGGCTCCAGAACAACTTCTTCATCTATACCACCCAGTCCGAGTTGTCCGAAGGAGGCATTCCCCCAACATAACATGGCTTAATCTTGGGAGGAATCCACGTTCAGCAGCTGCCTCTGGCGGCAGATGTTCTCTATTAAGATGACAGTTTAGAAAGACACGACATTAGAACAAATCCAACTTCTGCCTGGAGCCCACTGCCCTCCTCAAAGGGGGTGGGGGTTCTCCGTCCCTCACCCACCACCCGGTCCTAACGTGACCCCTCCTCCCAAATCCGCTCCCATCCCTCCTACACATATCCCAATCCTCGAACGAGCACCATGTTTAGCGGAGGCGCATCCTCGTGTAAACAGATCATCAGGGAACGGGGAAAGGGGTCACCCCCCCCCCTTCCTCCTCCCTCTCACCCAGCCTCAAGTGTCAGAAGACAGACGTTGCAGGGAACGAAACGGAAAAGCACACCCCTTTCAGCTGCTCTCCTCACACCAGACAAAGCGTCGTGTGGTCTGACTGCTGACTCGGCAGCTGCGATTTTTGATGGCGGACGACAGACGAGCGGCTTCCAAAGGTTTCCAGAAAAGCCTCGAGCCGACAGCTAACGGCCGGAAGTGACGCCACAATTCCATCGAGCGCTTGAATCCTCGGGGGGGGGGTCAAACGCGAGCAGGAAACGGTCACCGGGCGTCGCGCGCTGGGTGCTGGGAGCTGTAGTTCCGCAAGGGGTTAAAAGCGGGTTAACACCCATTGAGGCGAGTTCCTCGACAGAGGAGAGGTAACGGGCATTGATTTGTGACAGACACACAGACAAGTGGGTGGGCGGTTGAGGCTTTGTAGTTGCGACGAGGTTAAGAGTTGCAGGGAACTGGCAACGTAGAGATGACTTTTTTTATTAAAAAAAATGATGCCCAGTTCCAGCTGCATTTTGTACAAAGGAGATCATTAAAGTCATACACAGCAAAACCTAAGAGCGTTATGTGGCTAATCCACAATTGCACATCGCAGGGCCCCGAATGCAACCAAGTACGCGAGCCGGGCCGCGCGCCGGGCCGCGCGCCGGGGGGGAAACCGCTGAATATCTGTCTTTGGAAGGGTTTGGGTTGAAGTCCCAAAGTTGGGACACGAGTTTTTTGGGGTTGGCCGGGTGTGGTGTCTGACACGTGCAGAAACCCATCACCACGCTTAAGAGTATCCAAACCAAACAGACTTTTATGCATCCCATCTGTATGTGGAAATTCCAGAGACATGATTTAGAGTCCTGTGGAGTCCTGTAGCTCAGTGGTTAGAGCACTCGCTTTGCAAGCGAGAGACCTGAGTTCAATCCCAGACAGGGCGAAACCTTGGGCAAGTTTCCTTACTCCACACAGAGCCTAATAATAATCCCTCCAAAACCAAAAACAATAATAAATTGGTCATTTTCATTTACGACTGTTTGTGGGACATTGCTGTGCGCAATTGGCTGCCGCGTTCGCCCACAAATATACAGTCAATTCACTTTACAGTGTGTTCTGTGAAGCGCTTTGGGACGTCCTCCCGACGTGAAAAGCGCTATATCAAATGCAAGGATTATTATTATTATTATTATTAGGTGAAACAGTGTCACCAAACCAAGGTTTGGCTTCGTGTGGTGACAATATTTGGCTTAATCAAATCCTTTATATCCATGGAATATAATTTGAATTATGTAACAATAATAATAATAATGCCTTTGAATGTATGTTGTGATATGCACTTGTAACTATAATTTAGCATGTTCTAATGTTTGTTCCTTTCTCGTCTACATTTTGTGATTTACACCAGATACGAACACGCAGTTTCCATTGACTACTGTTTCAGAATGGAAAGTGGTTGGGTTTGAGAGGATTTTCCCCTTTGCCACCTTTCCCTGCTTCTCTTCTAAAGGCCTTTGACTCATTTTTCCATCTGTGGTATAGTTCTCCAAGGGTTCTTATTAACCTCTAGTGCATCAACCAAAATATTTTGGAAGATGTTTCATAAAGTAACTTGTACCACATTATTGTTTTGTGAAGCAATACCTTTCCATATCTTCTGTATTGTCTTTTAAAATGAATGTTTTCCTAGATTACTGTAACACTTTTATTGTTGTTAAATTCTTATAATGTATTTAGTGCTCAAAGTTGATGTGAAATAGTAACTGGCATTCCCAATTTCTTGCTTTTTTATTTACATTGTTCACACTTCTCTCTGGTGAATAACTGTGAAGATTTTTCAGCTGTTTGTTATTTCTCAGGTTCAACCACCCTGCATTCACACCATACTCTGGATACCAGGGTTACCACTACATCTGCTGAGAATTATAGATGAATGATATACTGATACACGGATTTGTAAAGCTGTGACTGTTTACCACAGGGTTACAAGGAAATGGACAGTTTAGCAACACAACATGCTTTGACCTTTATCTAAATAGGCAGCGTAGAGCTGTTTGTTTCATTACTGCAATTTCAAATGTCAAGTAAAAACTTGGTCGACGACAACATAAATTGTGATGACTCTTAAGTCTACCTGAAGGAGTTGTTTTTTGAAACAATATGATTTGCCTCTGTGCAGTATAAACATTGCAGTTTCAAATTTCAGTGGAAATGTTCCATTCAGTGCTCATTTGGACAATCTAGGAACTAAACACATTATTTTTTTCACTGCTGATAAAAGTGCATGAACTGCATCTCTGGTGTACAGTGAAAACTGAGATCACTAACTTGCATCAATACTGGAATGTACACCCCATGCCAGCTGAATATACTATACATGGTGGTAGTTATGGAATCCAATCAGAAAATGTCACTTGACTAGATGAAAGAGGTTGTGTAGTGGCAAGTAAAATCTTTGAGGAAGTGGGGCAGGAGGGATTTTCACATTGCTGGATCCTGGAAACACAAAATCAAAAATGATGATTAGTTAGTTTCCAGCAGCAACATGCACGATTAAAAGGTTAGCTATTGGTACTGTTTCCTACTAGTTCCAAGTGATTTTTCATGGAATAATTTTAAGGACACCTCTGTGACAATGTTTAATTAATTTGTATATTTATCTGTGATTTATTAGTGAATGGATGTATGACTAATGACTGTTTTATTAATTCACATTCAACAGAACACAGTAACACAGTAAACTTTACTTTGAAATTGATTGATAACATTCTGTTTTTAAGAATACAATCAATATACTGTCTCCCAAATCAATGTTTTAATGTCTACAATCCTCATATTTAGAATAGTTTAACCTTTGTAATGCTAATGTGTAATGTATCAGAATTATTCAAATATTATTCTAGCTCAAGAATTAAGTACTATTTCAAGATGACCATTACAGAAATCTACAAGATCAAATGAACAGTTTAGAAGAATAATGAACTTTGGACATACTGTACAGTTAAATGGGAAGCATGGAACTCAAAATCTATTTCAGCAGGAAAGTTAATGTCCTACGAGTGACCTTGGACTGCAAATAAATCCCTGTCGTCAGTGATCATAGCTGCCTTCACTGTTAGATAGCTCAGTGATCACAGCATGAACAAGTTGAGATTATTAAATAATAAAATATGAACTAATAAAGAAAAAAATATCTTTTGATGTCCAGCAAAAAGAGACACTCTGTTCAGTGAGGAATTCTATGTAATCATTATAATTCTATGTAATAATTATAATGTATAATGTATGGTTAGAGATAAAGATATGCTTGTTATAATTAGCAACAGTTACACAGTCCAACAATGTGTCAGTACTGAGCTGATAAAGAAAATAAATTAATTAATTTAAATTGAATTTGGACTGGTCTATGATTTGACACAAGAATAGAACAATGCAACAGCAGAATGATGTTGGGAATAAATCCTCTGCTTCTTCATTTTATCTAATCTTTGTATTGATAGGACTAAGAGCAAAGCAAACTGATAACCTTATACTTGCTAAATTTACTAGATTATCTTTTATTCTACGTGGACAAGTTGTGATTAAATCTTCCTCCATATATTTGTCCTCTCAATTATTCTAACATTGAATCTATCCATATTTCTTTTGATTGATGTATTTTTATGTTTTATAAATATGGTAGCTTAAACAGCACTCAAGGTCTTTCCAGTGAATTAACTGATTAGTATTGTCCAATGACACATTAATAATAATAATCCTTCAATTTGATATAACACCTTTCACATCAACGAGATGTCTCAAAGTGCTTCACAGGATATACTTTGTGTGTTTAGTTGGATTGGTTGTGTGTCTTGTGAACCAAACACAGTAGCCAATTGGCTTCATAAGCTCATGCTGTTCCTCAAAATCGTAGTTTGGATCAAATCAATGCTTTAATATCAGTAATTTGTTACTGACAATTTAAATAATGTTGCATTCATATTAAAAAAATAGTATTTGACAAACTTTTTTTGTGTTTGTCAAGGAAAAAGAGTTATTTCATTATTGCAGTATGCCAAAGCAACAGAATAATAATTTTGGATGCAGGATGCTTGTAAACAGATGAAGTAAAGCTTTAGCAAATACCATTCCTTGACCCTGCTGTTACATAGAGAACAAAATTATAAGATAAATATAATTGTCTGCTTCATCTAATCTGTGGCAGGCTAGAAGTGACTAAAACAATTAGGAGACTTGCAAAAACTTCTGAATGCTGAAAACAGTCACCCTGACATCTATACTGGTTCAAATGAACAGTTCCTTGTTTTTAAATAATAATCTGACGCATTTTCACATCCTCACAATGATTTTTGGACCTGTTTTATGCTACAGACTTCATTGGTCATTTCAGTTGTGGCCCATTTGTGTGGATAAGCAACAGTTGGTCAGGACACTCCAGTCAGCTCTAAGTGGAGCTCTATTACAAGGTCTGGCATTAGCCTTGTAGTGACTGATGATGAAGCTACCTAAAATTAGATTTCTTGTTGATTTGCAATTATGGCAATAAAAGACCTAACCTGAATGGCATGCCATCAGTAAAAGACTCAAGACTGAATGCAGTGGGTTTCTTTAACCAACATGGTAAGCAGTTACTCGATTCACTACCTTTTACGTTTTGAAGGGTCAGTTTACTCAGAACTTCAAGAGAGACAAAGGTATTTAGAAGATTGTTTATTTAAATTCAGCAGCAATTTATTTTGTTTTATTGCAGTGTTTCTGCTTTAAATTGATAGGTAACGGTTTACATTTGTAACTTTTTGGTCAAATTAAAAATATGTTCTGTTTGTTGTATCCCAGTTGCAGCTGTGATACAATATTATGTTGCCAATAAAGAATTTGGAGAACAGAAAGGCCAAATTACTAAATTCTGTCAGGATTCTTAAGGGATATCTATCTTTCAGCAGCTCTTTGTGCCTTAATCTATTAACCCTTAAAAATCAACAAAAACATGGCATTTCATTAATGTTTTAGTAAATAAACTGGGGAAAGAGCAAATGCTTTAACAATGTTTCTATTTTTGTATAAATAGAATTTTGTTGTATTTATCTTTTTCTTCAAGCATTGCTCTTTCCATAGTATTCAATTAAAAAAACACAGAGTATGAAACAGCTTTCGAGCCGTTGGATTTTTTTAAGGGTTTTAATATTTCTTGTGTATTGTTGTGTATAGTTGCTGCCATTCAGTGTGTCAACTTGAAATTATTTGTTTCAGTGACAAACGTCCTGCACGTTTCTGTATTGAGGTTTGTGTATATCTTGGTATTGTTAATTACAGACATGGGCTATGAGGGGAGCACAGCTGATACTGTCCTTCACAACATAACACTGTGTGTTTCAGAAATGTGTGATGCACATCCATGCAAATTCTGAGTCCTTAAATGAATAGGAACTGAAGGATAAGTAGGTGTCACTAAAGAACCAGGATGCTTCTCGGTGTGACAGGCGAGTGACTTTTCAGCTTGACTTTGCTTCCTGTAACAATTGTAGGTCTATGGAAAATAAGACATACCATATTAGAATATATTTCTATCATATATTTACATTGTAAAATTCAAATCTAAGGTGTTGTAAAGCATTAATAAGGCAATGATCATTTCCTTTGCTGGGTTGGTTGCAAAAGTCTGGAGAATTTAAACAGAAAAACTTGGTCTGTGTGTAGTATATCTCATATTGCAGTGAAACCAATTTGCTCATGTTGTCAGAGCACCATTACAGTCTTTTGTTTAAGCAATGGCCTTTAAACACCAAATTCAGTTCTTGCAGTCAGTATTTATAGGTATTAGCATGTTGCTACAGAGTTCTGACATTTTATCAGAATACAAGTAGGGCTCATGGTTCTCAAGTGCAGTATTTATAAGTCTTAGTATCTCTAAAAGTGCTGATAATTATTCATGCAGCTGGTTAGTTGGTTGAGTTGGAAAAACTGCAATTCATTTTAAAATGTGTACTTAGTTTTGCTTCAGTTCATTGTAGAAGAGTAGGTCCAGATGATCTCAAGATGGTTTAGGTTTCTAATTAGCTGACAGTTAAGATGGTTATTGGAAACATGAATGTTTAGATATTACAGGAACTATTTAACATGGCACTGATACTGCTCAATGGGCCTATCTTATGCCAAACACTGAAATGCTATTGTACTTCTTGATCTTAATTGTTGAGCATTTGTTTGTCTCAAGTGTATTGTAAAACACTGATCAATTATATACTGACATTCTGCATACCCATTAAAATGCTTTGTGCCTTCCTGGAACTGCTACAAAAATGCTAAAAGAAAATTGGGCTGTTTTTTGCTGCCCTAAAAGTCTTAGAAAATAATAGGAAGTTTAAAGTGAATAAGGAACCTACAGGCCCACCTTATCTGTGTTGCTGCTAGCTTCCTCTAGAACTATTCACTCCAATCCCAATATTTTAACAAGATCAGGAGAGAGGTTCAGATGAAGAAAGCCCTTCAGTCCATTTGATCTCATCCTTCCAGCTGTGGTTATAGTTTAGTTTTGATTTATCACAAAACTTCCAGTAGATGTTAGGTCTCATTGACCCAACCTAAGTCTCCCTGGAGCCCATCAGTAGGCTTTGGCAGTTCATGTCTGTTGCAGGATAAAACAGAGAGTGTGAATTAACCTGGATCTGCTTCTTGTAGTGCATTAAATGCTAATAAGGGTCAATTGTGTGACATTAAAAAGACCTGCTATATAACTTTAAACATGATATTAAATGAAAAATGTGATACCTGATTTCATAGTTTTGCACAACTCCAAAATAGGTGTTAGATTTTGAATAGATTGATGCAACATAATATAGAGTGGGAAGTATAAATCGGACTTTTCACACCACATGGCATGGGGGCTGAAAGTGCTATCACTTCATTGCCATCAATATAAATGGAGCATTAAATTATAGAAAATGAGGCTGAGGCTATATTTTACCTCCTGACATTCTTTAATCCAGCTGATCATGTTTTTGTTTCCCTGCGGATGTGAACACATTTCTGTTTCACTAAAGCAGCAGCAGAACTAACTTGAAATGTACATCACTGTAAGTGATAAGAGATTTGTTATTTGAAAATATTTCCAGTGCACCTCAAAACCTGAGAACCGAAAACAGTTTTCCAAATGTAGGATCTCAATAGGTGGCTGTGTAAAATGCTTCATTTTTTGAACCCAAGATTAAACATTAGATGTTTGTTTGTGAAATGTTGCATTCACGGTAGATTTTGTTGTGAATTTTTAAATTTATTTTGTTTGTACAGGCTGGTTTCTTTGGATGTTAAATTAACATACGTTTCTTTGCAGCAATGCAGCTGATGCATAGCTGCTATTTTTATCAGCAGCACACCTGTTAAACAGAACCTGGGGAATATACAGGAAAATGTATTGCTTTATTTTATCAATATTTTCACTCCTAGAAGTAAATATTTAATTCTAATTTTAGAATTTGGGGAAAGTAACATTTATGGCAAAAATTAATTTAACTAAATGTCTGGAACAACTAGTAGAAATGCAGTGTCCTGTCAATAATCAAACCATTCAAGAATAAGTAGGAATGAATGCTGGCATTCGCCCAGAAAGATGTCTAGTGTATACATTAGAGAAAATATCATGGATTTAGCTTTATGTCAGTGTCCTAGGTGTTGCTGTAGAAGTTAGTATCCCTTTACTTAAACCCTTCCTATCCAATGAGGTGGATTGTTTCCAAGGCACATGGTTTGTACTGCCTAAAATAACTTGGGAGCCAGTATGCTGACAAACGTTACTGGTACAGTGGTGACAGGTTGCTTATTGCTTCTTACTACTACCTTATCAACGGCAAAGTTAACTCTCAACCAAACCCCTGGGCTTTTAGTTCTTGTCCCAAGGGGTCGGCAGGATTGCAGTGTTGTCCCATCTTTCATCTCAAACTTCTACTGCGTAAACTGCCACTGCTAGATTTTCACATCACACCATCCACTGGGCCAGTCAGAAGGTATTGTTCTGTTACTTTAATGCAGTGTAAATGTCTTGACTGGTTTGTAGAGATGAACATAGAATTGGAAATAGCATGCTATTTCAACTTATTGAACACTCACCCAGAGAATTAAAATGTCAGCTAGTAAATTTCTATTCAACAGAGCCATGTGCTGGATTCTGGTAGTGAGAGTCATGTTTAAAAACTGTGGTAGCTTTTGTTGGAGCTTGAGTCCAGGCTTGTTATGCGGTGTATTTTTATCTTGGTATAAGAGTTGCAGCTCAGGCTGTGCTGTTTTCTAACACGCATGCCTCGGATTTTCAGGTGACATCATTACCTCTTGTTAAATTGTTTTAACTTCCAGTCCAGTCTGAAATCCACTTCTAAAATTCAGTCCTCAGCTTTACTGTTACCAAACAGGACAGTTTTGTAACTTTGTATATTTAAACAGACTGATCTGAGATGACTTGGTAGCTCAGGACTTGATTTTAGTTTTCATCTAGTAAAATGATATCACAGACTAAAATTAGGTTTGTGCTTATGAGATTTGCTCTCAGGATTAATGAACAGAACAGCTGCAGAAACAACTCTGCTAGAAGGGCAATGTACCTCTGCTGTGCTCTGTGGTTTGAGTGTCAGCAACATGTGGTCAGCTCATTCTAATTCTGCTTTAAGCAATTCCCATGGACCAATAACATTGACTGGTAGACTACCAGATTTCAATATCCCCAACCTACAGTCTTGCCTGTCCCCTTCCCAGTTTTAATATATTGATTAGAAGGAAACCGTTCTTCCATATTGTCCTTCAAAGCACTGAATGCACATTGACAGGAGCTTCTACACACAGTTAAATAAACTGAAATCATGTGAAAAAGTCAATGTGTGACAATGTTACTTGATTCATATAACAAGTCAGTCCCACGTGCACTGTGGATGCAATATTTTTCAAGATATTGCTTATGATTGAACTATATGTCGTAAGTTTCAATGCAACAAAATTTGAACATAATAAAAGCAAAAATAACTTATGAAATTTAAGTTAAAGTGAGTAAGATATATGTTACAGTTACAATACTTAAGATGATAATTCTAAGGTTTAGAAAATCAAACTTTTAGTTAGTAAGGTGACAGGAAATTGAATCGATGGGTTTGGTGTTAAATTAATGACAGGCAGCCATCACACAAACAAAACAGTATTTTTTATTTGCAACAGAATGCAAGAGGAGAACTTTGAAGCTTCTACATCCATTTCTCAACTTCTGAGGGATAGCTATTTATCTGATGTCAGAATACATCAGGGTCACGGCGAAAAAAGCAGATCAGAAGCTGCCTCAAAAAATTTCTATCGTGGTACCAAACCTGGGGTTTCTCAGGATTTGGAAAGCCAGGGTGAATCCTCGGACCTGTCTGCATTTTTGAGTCAAGAAGAATTGGATGAAAGTGTTAACCTAGCTCAACAAGCAATTGCCCAGTGTTCCCATGAAAGTAAGAAAGACAACACTGGTATACCTGGAAACAGACAAGTAGATTCCTCAGGCTTGTTGGAGAAGCCACATCATCAACCTTTTCACAATGAGAATGTCAATGAAACTACTAGCAGTTTAGAAACAGGTTACAAGAAGCTAAAAGAAGAGCCAAAGAGCCCTTTGGTTCACGAATCTGAGGCTAAAAAGGATTATTTAAGTAAAGCTGCAGACTTTATTGAGGAGTTGTCGTCACTTTTCAAAACACAAAGTTCAAAACGGATTAGACCTAGAGCTTGCAAAAGCCCTCGAAGCAGGTCTCAGTCAAAGACTAACTCACAAAGCCAAAAGTCATCTTGGCCTGTTGATGAGAGGGAAAGATCACATGATTCAATTCCCGTAGAAAAGTATGATGAAACCATATCAAATGTAGAGTCTGAAGAAATAACACAAACATCAATCCTAGCATCAGACACTGAAACATTAACACCAGAACCTATCACAACTGAAACTCAGTCAACGCCTGTTTACATTGAAGAAACCAAAGGGAATCGACCTCGATTCATCCAGAAATTGAAGAGTAGGGAAGCACCAGAAGGAAGCAGAGTGCAGCTTGATTGCACTGTGACAGGAATCCCAACCCCAGAAGTCAGGTAAGTGCCTTGCATTTTTGCTTGCCTTTGAAACCCAGTATGATGATTTACAGATCAATTATAAATAGCAAATTATGTATGACCTAATTATCTAATGCTAGTCTGGCTTAATTAATCATTGTACCCAACAGGAGACTGATTTGGAATGGGAAACAGGATTTATATTTCCTGCTTCAAAATCATGCTTGTTGATATCTGAGAATAACTCTCACGTGTACAACTTAAATGGACGTTTAGAACTCTGCTAACCAGCCAAATGATAGTAAGAGCAGTCCCAAGTTTTTTTCAAATGAATTTATTAATGTTTACTTGTAGTCCCTAAAAAAAAATGATTTCATCCTGGATCAAGTATAATCTTGACAAAGAAAGTTGATCTGCACTAACTATGCAGTGTAAGTAGAGAAAAGAATTATTCAGAAGTATTATGTTGTCAAAGTTAGTTTTAAATAAGAAATAGAACTGGTTATACACACCTTTCTGTTCAAATTCTTTGTTTATTCATTTTAGTCAAAATGTAATTGTGATTTTTAAAAAAAAATATGGTGGCACAATAATGGAAGAGTTGACATATGGATCCATCATCCATGAAGTTTATTTGCATAATCTTAGCATTTTAAACAAAAATGGTCCTACAAGTGCAGAATTGTGGAAAACTGGTGGCTGCATGGCTGCAATATTGAAAGAATAATACCTTTCAGACTAATACTGTAGTTTACAGCTAGTATTCACTTGGTAGTGAATACTAGCTATAAACCATTGTTTAAATATTGGCTGATACTGATCACTGCTGTCTGGGATACTTTTACCTAATCTTAAAAAATGAATTGTTTTAATTCATTTTATTCGATTCACAGTTCCCAGAATTGAATGTGGACTAAAATAGTTCTGCCTGAAACCTTCCTTTCATGGGTGCTGAGGGAATAATTAATATCATATTTGAAATATTAAGGTAGTGATTCCACTGCACTCATGCTGTGGAGGTGCATTTGAGAGTAGGACATTAATTTGTTTTTCTTAATAGCTTTTATAACTTAATAGCTTATAAGTCTTGTAAGGTAATGCTAACTGCTTGCTTGTCGGTCTTCCCAACTCTTCCCTCCACAAGCTAATTATTCAGAATTCTGCAGCTTGCATCCTCCGTGAATCTATCAACCTCACTGTCGGCCAGCTCCACTGGCTTACCATCCTCCAGAGGATAGAGTTCAAAATCCTCATCCTCACTTTCAAAGCCCTCCAAGACCTTGTCCCTTCCTACTTCTTTGACCTGCTAACTCCATACCGACCTGTCCGCTCCCTCCGCTTAGCGGACTCTGGCCTGCTCCACGTCCCCTACCCTGCTCGTCCCCCATTGGCGGCCAGGCCTTCAGCCTTTCTGCCCTACCCTTTAAAACGTCATCCTACTGTCCCTTCACCTCGCCTCCTCCCTTGCCTCCTTCAAGGTCCGTCTTAAGACATTTCTCTTTGACCACGCCTCCTGTCACCCTCTAAACCCCAACCTCCATGCCCTTCACCCCTCCTGATCCCAATCCCGAGCTCGGGTGCAAATTCTTGACTATCCAGCGCCTTGGGACGTCTTCCCGACATGAAAGGCGCAATACAAATGTAATTTGTGGTTGTTATTGTTTTGGGTTGTTCATGAAGTACTATACTTTTACTGTAAGTACCAACCAGTGCAATTTATAACAATTTGTGGTCACTCCATAGATTGAAAAAAATATTAATTGCTAGTGCTAATGGCCATAAAAAAAGAGAAATACACAGACAATAAACCTTCCTAAAAGACGATATGTTCTCAATATTCACAATTTCTTGATCATGTTTAGTTGTCTCAAAACAAGTTTTCAATGATTAAAGAAATACAAATGTGGAGTCCTGTAGCTCAGTGGTTAGAGCACTCGCTTTGCAAGTGAGAGACCTGAGTTCAATTCCAGGCAGGGCGAAACCCTGGGCAAGTTTCCTTACTCCACACGCCTAATAATAATCCCTCCAAAACCAAAAAAAACAATAATAAATTGGTCATTTTCAATCTACGACTGTTTGTGGGACATTGCTGTGCGCAATTGGCTGCCGCGTTCGCCCACAAATATACAGTCAATTCACTTTACAGTGTGTTCTGTGAAGCGCTTTGGGACATCCTCCCGACGTGAAAAGTGCTATATCAAATGCAAGGATAATTATTATTATTATTAAATAACTTTTTTGTGATTAATATTACATGTAAGTTTTAGGGGATTGGGAGTCCATATAAAAGCAATAACAACATCTCCAAAGTATGTAGAGAATAGCTCCAGGTATTTCTGCTTCCCTTTATGAAGGTTACATTTTATAGAGCTAGCAAATTAGCTAAAATAGAGTCCCAATATATGGTGAACAGGGTCCCCAAATTCAAACTAAATTCCACCAATTCTTTCAAGAGATTGAATTTTTGCACTGTCTATATTTGTACTGCAGCAGTTAGAATTGATTTTTTGATTAAACTATTTCTTCAAAGTGACAGTTACCACAGGAATTGGCTTCAAGATCATGAAGCTCCCAAATGTTCCAGTAAGGAGCATTTTCTTATTGCAGGAAAGGATTCAAAGTCTCGTCCAACTGGCACCTGCTCAATCTTAGAATAGTTGAAGTACGAGGCTACCACAACATTCCAAGCTTCTCCAGTGATCGGAGGGGGCATAAGGCCAACTGGAACAGATCCAAAGTCACCAATCCAAAAGAAAGAAGCTATGTTAACATTAGGAGGTACACATTCAGTGGAACTAATTCCTATCCCTTGTAGTCAAATATTATATCAGACAATTGAAGTTATTAACGTAAATTGATCTTACTAAATGGAAATGACACTTATTGTATTAAGAGTTAAAGGAGTCAGGAAAATGCATGCTGTACAACAGGTACCATATCAGTATATCTTGTAGAAGCCTGATAGTATACATGCAAATTTAAAGACAGTTGATGTGCCCCATCTGGGAGGCCCCAAACTTATATTGTGCTCTTAATATAGTAGCAATTGAAATTGAAATATCCAGTCATTGTGGCAAAACTATTTGATTTGTGAAACTTTGTTGTATTGCAGTGTGTGTTACTGGTGTGAGAAAATATTTGCTAAGTGTTACAACATTGTTGCAGTCAAAAGGACCACTAGCAAAAGATGATTAGCTGGACACATCACGATTAACAGGCTTTCATTGTGTACTGATGTGTGGATTTATGTGTGCTTGGACCAGTCATACTACAGCTTGCTTTAGTGTTTTTATTGGAGAGCATAGCTTGTGCTGAAAACTTGCAGAGCATAGGAATCTGTCAGTGCTTGTGGAAAGAAAGCAATGTGGTGTCTCTTCTTGGCCTCTGTGGTACTGCCAATGTCTTCACAAATCTCAAAATCGTCTTCAGCAGTGCTTGCAGCAGGTTGTTTTCATAAATGTATGGAATGTCCTGTCAGGTGTCTTTCAAATTGCTTTGATGGAACATAATTTATCCGCAATCAACTGTCCCAAATTGATAGTATTCAGGTTACTCTTATCAGTTTCATAGACATACAATGTTTCATGTTTCATTTTGATGTACGTTTAGTGTTTAAAGAATAAGATCCCTTTTTTCCCCTTAAATCAGTTTTCAGTCTCACACTCTGGCTTGTTTCCTTCTCTTCAATATTGCCTTGAGCTTCTACAATGAAATCCTTTGTGCCTTTCACCAGTCCTATGGCAAATGTATAATGTGTAGTTAATACCCCTCTCCATTAGGTGTCTCTAGAATGTCTATGCACCGCGCTATATTTTCAGATTATTGAGAACATTTAAACAAAAGATGGTTTGAAAATTGAATTGTCTGCAATTCTCTTAATTGATAAATTATTATATAGTTATTATACTGCTATTGCATTTCTGTGATGTCTAAACTGAAAGGTAGCTAAGCTTTCTTCTGAACTTTTTGTGATTGTGTCTCTCCACACTCTGGTGATTACTGATCCTATTCTGTTCTCTGCTGTTCTCTGTGGTAAATAGAACACAAGTGTTTCTTTGCTTGTATGGGGGAGGGTGGTTGGTGCATCTTGGAAAGAAGCAGAGAAAGTTAGATAGAGAAACTAAATGAACCTTCTCGAGGATAGATTTTACTTGTTTCTGGATGAAGTGAAATGGTCTTTGGTTGTTCTTTATTTGCTTTCTTTAGTTCCTAAATGAAACTGGATTAAAGCTTCAGAAGCAGATTCAAGTGCTTGTCTTTAATACAGAAAGGCTTGGAAGAAATATTTTGTCATGTAGCAGCTTGTTTTCAACTTTTTATGTTGTAATTCCTACTGTAACATTTAGTAACGTGAATATTAACATTTCCCACACAGTAAAATTGAAGAGTATTTCCATTGCTCTTCAGTTCCTTTCCTTAGTAGCACTTGTCAGACAACACTGGTTGAAATTAGTTTTGGGTGTTTTTGGTGAATGGATCTCAACAAATTCCAGGTTAGATGTGGTGGAGCATGGAAAGACGACATGCACTAGTGAAATATCTACAGAGTAGCCAAGAAATCTGACCTTCGGAATGAGCTCATTTCCAGACTGAGTACAGGTCTCAGGAGAGATGGCAACAACAGCATCAGTTGGATGAGTGGTGTATGTGCAGCAAGTTCTTAAATGTCAAGTTGTTCTTTACAAGTGATCAAAAGTTACTTCAGAAACGTTCCAAAAAAAAGAATGCACACATTTAAGATTTAAATTCTGGTTGCTTGGACAACATTTTCTTTAGCATTAATTATGAGCATTGAAGAAACATGTTGATTACTGAGAGAGTTTTGATGGGTTGAACAGCTGCAACTCTTCTTTAATTTGGTAAGTATGAAGCATGACTGAAAGACTGTACAGACAGGAGAGTCAGAAATATCATCTGAAATTGTTGTGTATTGCAGAAGATTGTATGTCATGCAGAGAAAAAAAATCTTTTTCTGGGGTTTTTAAATTTTGATTATTTTCTTGGTAATCTTTAACTTTAAGGTGTAACTTTGTAGTTGC